ACGTAGGGTGCTTTATAATAGGCCGACTTAAGTTGCGAGTCCTGAAAAGGGACTCTCTATTCACAAAAGTGCATAGGTAATGTACCAGGTGGATCTGTCCAAAGACTTTTCTGGCCACAGGTGCCACTTGCTTTTTTGAGAGTAATTCACTTCTTCCACAACTCCGATGCTGCAACCAGATCTTCTATGCCACATGAGGGGAATGTTAAAGTCTCCAAGATCTATCAGTCTTGGAGGATTCCATCACCAACCTGCATCAAAATTGGGGTGCGAGGAGACTGGTATACCAAAACAAACCAATTGCTCCCTAAAATCCAACTTGACATGCCTAGCTCTGAAGGATTTTAAGACTTCTTAGAAAATAACCACTACTTCTCCCCCCCCCCCATGTGGCTATAGCTGCGTTCAAAAGTCAGGTGAGCATATTTCTAAGAGGGAAACACCATCCTCTGGACTCACATTGATTATATGTGCAAGGTCTGCCATCTCATCTGTGGAAAGAAAAATCTTCAGGGTCCAGTCCAAGCTGGGAACAAACAAAATGGAGACTGCTTTAGAAAGAAGGTTGTGTTTTATTGAAGAGGAGAGCCAGACAGAAAGATGGGTCTGGGAAAGCTGACAACATGTAGCTGGGAGTGGTAAGTTTTTAGATCTTAAGTTTTTGTTTGGAGTTCTTCCTGTCTGAGGCTTTGTATTTCCTGTCATGTACTTTGACTTGAGTCTGAGTGTGCCCTTTTAGTATTGGTGGGTTAATCCTATTGTTTCCTGTCCTTAGAATTTGGGTGGGGGTATATAGATTTTAGGAGTCTTTTGTCTTCCTAATTTCTTCAGTTTCTAGCTGGAAGGCTCAAACCTTTCTGAAAGGATTATTGAATTTGCATTTCTAAAAGCTGGCCTCTGCTGAGTTTTCTGCTTAGGGGAGAGGGGCTGGGGCTGGTTTCTGTCTCTTTTTTAAAGATCTTCTCCATTATTCCTTTGGGGAAATATATTCTGCCTTTTTAATATTCCCCCAAATATTTCTTTTTTTGGATTTTTCCCATACGCCCATGAAGTTATCCTTGAAACCTTGTTACAAATCAATCTGGCTCCTGTTTCATTTCCTTGTGTTGCCTTCTCCCAAGATGCTTTTTCGATTTCCCAGTCTCGCTCACAGACCCAGAATTTTCTAGCCTTCCCTCCACTACAAATAGGTTCAGGGGTAGGCAACCTTGGCTCTTTTATGACTCGTGGACTTCAACTCCCAGAATTCCTGAGCCAGCACAGCTGGCTCAGGAATTCTGGGAGTTGAAGTCCACGAGTCATAAAAGAGCCAAGGTTGCCTACCCCTGGGTTAGGCTCTGCTTAACTTTCTAGACCTGGTTTGTTTTGCATTGCCAAACCGCCTTTGCCAGTTTAACACACTGAATTTACCGACCTGTAACGTGCGGCTTGTAAAAGTATTACCCAACAAATTTCCGGAAGACAAACTTTATGAATAGTCTTCACTATCTACCGAAACCTTATATCTCTGTGGTGACCAAAGCCAAAGAGTTCAGGACCGAGACGTTTCTCAGCCTTTTTATGTCACGTTGTTTTTAGAGGCGCCTGGTGGTTTAGGTTTTTTTTTTTTTTTCAAGAAAGAAGACAGCATTTGGATGTTAAAGAAATGAATTTGATGTTGAATCTTGTAACAGCCGCAAGATTATTGATAGCTCAATTTTGGAAGGACTCTTTGCCTACTATAGAAGAATGGACGCTTAAAGTGTCAAATTTAGCGGACATGGCTAAAATTTCCGCTTATTTGAAAGATCAATCACAAGAAAGATATATCTCGGTCTGGAGAAGATGGATAGATTATATTCAGAATAAATATGGGACTAAAAAGTTTCATTTGGGTTATGAGTAAACTCTAGAGTATTGTNTCAGAATAAATATGGGACTAAAAAGTTTCATTTGGGTTATGAGTAAACTCTAGAGTATTTTTATTATTAATAGTTTATTTTAATGGAATTTTTGTTAGTTTTAATTATATGATATTATTTTTAATATTAGTATTGTATTGTTTAATACTTAGGTGATGAATACGTTTAATTTTAATTTGTTTAAATTTGTGTTAAAGGGGAGTTAAAGCGCATTATGGATTTGGTTACTTTAATAGTTGGTTAATGTTAGATAGATTTTGATTATTATATTTGTAACCCTGTGTTCAGCTCTGGGAAGTGGGGGAGGGGAGGGCGGGGTTTTGGGGTGGGTATAGGGGTTTATACTGCAATCTTCATAAAACTTTTAATTAAAAAAAGGAAAGAAAGAAGACGGCATGAAAGGTTGCTGTAATAAAACAGTCAATATTATTGTTTCAGCTACTTCCTTCATAATAATTTCACAAATAACTCAAACAAGGCGCTGAACACCCGCCGACACCTCAGTCCTATCCCTCACACGATCGCGGATTGCGTTCCCGCCCCGCTACGGTAGATCCCAGACTCCGCCGTTATCACGTGACGTCCATTAAACTGTCTCCTCGCTACCCGCCTCTTGAGCCCGGGCTCCCAATCAACGGACCAATCAGCACGGCGCTAGGGCAAATTCTATTACGTCTTCATTTTTGTCTGGGACTCCTGAAAAATCCCAGTCTGCAGTTGGTGCATTCTGTGGTTTTTCATTGGTTACCATCATCGTCGAAGCCCTGCCTCTGAGTTTCTTGCCGGCTTGTCGATTGGTAAATAAGCGGCTGGAAAGCTTTGTCCTGTCAGTGGGCCTTTAACAAAAGGACGGGGACCAATCACGGTAGCTCTCTCTTTCGGTGCAGTCAGTTTGAAACTGCCAGGCTTTTGCTGGGGAAAAGAAGAGTGGCGGCTGCTGCTGCTCAGGTGAGAAGGGGGCGGCTGGTTGCGACGTTGGGGAGCTGGGAAATCTGAATGAGGTGCAGGAGAGAAAAGGGGCGTAACTGGGGCGCAGAAGGTAGGACAGATGATCCTCTTCTCACTTCTAGAGTTTCCTGCAGTTAGCTGGTATCTTCCTAAACCTGGAATCTTTTTTCAGTTTCTTTCTTCTTGCACTTCCTCGCAGGCGCAACTCACTCGTGGAATTGTTCAGATTGAATCGAACGAAAGGGCGTTAGAGATGTGCTGACCTACAACTACATTTACGGGTGGGAGGCATCAGGCTGGGAAGGATGATTTCCTCATCAGGTCAACTTTTCTTTCTAGATGTAAGCCAATCTATAAGAGCAAGTATAACAAAGCCATAGTTTTCCAGACCCCGAGCACCAGTTCCTATTACAGGTAGTCCTCAACTTACACCCATTTGTTTAGTGACTGTTTGAGGTTACAATGGCACTGAAAAATGACCAATTATGACCAGTTACTTATGATCATTGTAAAATCCCCATGGTCACATGATCAACATTTGAAAGTTTGGCAACTGGCTTGTACCTATGACAGTTGCAGTGTCCCAGGATCATGTGATTATCTTTTGCGACCTTTTGACAAGCAAAGTCAATGGGGAATCCAGGTTCACTCGACAGCCATGCTACTAACTTACTTAACAACTGTGGCAAGTAATGTTGTAAAATGGGGCAAAACTCACTTAACAATTGTCTTGCTTAGCAATGGAAATTTTGGGCTCAATTGTGGTCATAAGAAATGATGGGAGCTGTAGTCCAGCCATTCATAAGCATATCATTCTCTATCTGAATGTATGAGTAAGACTGGGAATCCACTTCCTCCAAATTGCAGTTCTCAAAACACAGCAAGAAAATATAGTGCAAGTTTGTCACAAGAGTATAATTGTCAGACAAATGGCTGTATCGATTGCTTTGGGGATTTCAAATTCTCAGATAAAATACACTGTTTGATAATGTATCGATTCATGTCCAGAATGCCTTTGAAGAATCATGACTTTCTATTTCACCTGTTGAGATGGTTGCCAAAGTGACCTATCTTACGCAAACATGATTTTCCTTCTTCTCAACTGTCCTTCTTTGAGAGAAGTGTTAAGGACATTCATTGAACCTAGTAAAAATTGTTGCCAAATAAATCTGATTCAAATTTTATTTCAGATAAGCATTAACATTTATTAATATAGTTCAGGTGACATAAAATGAATGTTATAGTGAAATAATGCATCACAAAAATCACAAAGAAAAAAGCCCATCCTCATATAAAAACATTTTAAAAATTGTTAACTTAATTGAGTGGTTAACTTTCCATTTTTGTTACTCATCTGAAGCCTGAAAAAAATGCTAAACGCTTACTTACAAAGTTGTTATTAATGTAAACATTCTGAATTCGATATTTTTTTAAAGTGCTATATAAAATGTTTCGTATGATGCCCTTTCTCATTTTTTATACTTGTTTTATATCCATCCTAAGCAATATATAGATGATTAGGCTAAAGTTTAAATGAGAGAGAAACTGTGGAAACTGTTTTTGTAGGCTACTAATTATTCTTGCATTTGAGATGGGCTTCCTTTAGATCAGTGAGTTAGCCATTTGTTTAGTCAAAATCTTCAGATTTTTTTTCTTGGGGTTTAGAACACTGGGCTGCGGCATGCCAGAAACTGGTCTGCACAAACAAGCAAAGCCCCATCCACAGGATGCAGGCAGCATGCGAAACCATGCCCTTCCAGTCTGTGGAAAAACAACTCTGCACGGTACTAATCCATGGTGCCCAAAAGGTTGGGGCCACTGGTTTTGAAGACACTTTTTGGGGTAATGGAAGTAGAAAGCACAGCTAAGTAGAATTCTCCAGATTTCTAGCTTGCAGATAACCAGCAGTTTTTGTAGTACTAGGAGCTTTCTGGTTTAGTAGCTAAACATACCATAGAAACTTTTTCCTGTAGTTTGGTTACTCTGATGAATAAATTAAGAACAATGGCTTATTAATCACTAGCAAACCAGATTCAGAAAACAATTTGTTTTTGGGTTCCATTTTCTTGGCTTGTTTTGGAAAATACAAGCCAAACACTCCAGTTACTGATTGCAAGTAAAGTTCATCTTCTGGAACTTTTTACAGGAAGCACTTTAATGCAAGATGTCATCATCTGAAGAGAAAAGCACAAGTCCTATTCTACCAAAAGATTCTGATCGAGGCAGTTCTGTCTCTTCTGATCTTCAGGTAGGCGAAAAATGAATGCTTTTTTTCTTGTTTATTTGGAGCTTGCACAACATCTTGTAAATGTAGATCTTAAAAATTATTTCATTTGAAGCTGCTATTTATACAAATGACTTTGTATAAATACAATTTGTATAAATACAATTAATTTGCAAATGCTACTGTATAGAAAAAACAGTATAAAATTAATATATTAAATACATTCTTAATAGACCATGGATTATTGAATTCACAGTTGCGTTAGCATAACATACTGGTTTAAAAACATTCTTAGTGCCATGAGTGAACACAGTGAATATTGTGAGAAAAGAGTTTAAAAAAAACCTCCTACGTGGGTGCATCCTTTGTCTGCAGAATAAAAGGTTTTTTTCTCTAATGGCTGAACATAGACAGGTACACTTCAGTTGCTGGATGGTCCCTGCTGTCTGCCTGAGTTCACCATCAATCTTCACCCAGGGCTGCTGTTAGGATGAGTTGCCACCAACCGGGAAACCTTACTTGCATTCCATCTATTTTTCTCTGTACTGCTACTATCATAGCTTCTACTAGGTGTGGATACAAGCCATATGAAAATTAAAAAGAGCATTTAGGGTTTGCCTTTTCATCTTGTTTGCTTCTAGATTTTCAGCCAAGAATAACAACTGAAGCTAAACCTCAACCTTAGCCTAGCAATGCCTAGTTGGTCAACAACTGTTGCCTTGGAAGCTTTTCATGTGACTATTTTGTTTTTGAGGCTAGTTGTGCTTATTGTTGACTTGCTAACCTTCCTGCCTCTTTCTATTTCAACTGTACTAATGGTAAAATAATATAGCAACAATGTAGCTTGTGTATTTTTTCCTTCTGTTTATGTCCAGTTCTCAGATGGAAGCAAAACACATATGCATGACCTATCTTATTACATATTTATATATGTGCATAGACTACTATATTCTGACTGTGAATATGTGTTTCTGTAAGTTACATTTTCCTACGTACCTGTCATGATGGTGGAATCCATCTGTTTTTATGTTAGCGAAAGGATGAAATAGAATAGATGAAAACATCTTATTTTGCTATGAATATATTTTTTTTAGCATGAAAAAATAACAATAAAGTATTCGTGTAGTTTTCAAGCTGGGGAATCTGCTTAAGTGTTCCCTAATCTTAAAAGAAGCTAAATAAAACTGTATAAATATTGACTAGAATTATAGTTCAAAGCTGAATTCAAACTAAAGAATAAAGTACAAGTAATGGTAGGTTGCACAAGGTTAAGCCTAGAATAAATAAACCACATTATGTCATAGAATAACTCGTAGCTACGTTGTTACCTGAGATCATGTGGAGTTCATGAGCCCTGGTGGTGCAGTGGTTAGCATGCAGTACTGCAGGCTACTTCTGCTGATTCCCGGCTGCCAGCAGTTTGGCAGTTCGAGTCTCACCAGCTCAAGGTTGACTCAGCCTTCCATCATTCCGAGGTCGATAAAATGAGGACCCAGATTGTTGGGGGCAATATGCTGACTCTGTAAACTGCTTAGAGAGGGCTGTAAAAGCACTGTGAAGTGGTATATAAGTCTAAGTGCTATTGCTATGATCATAAAGAAAGACATAGCTGCTTTGAAGAATTACAGACAAGAGCGACATAAATTTTCCTCTTATTCTGAAGCACCATTTTCAAACAATTTTTGAAGTTTTGCATATCCTTAATATGTAAAGAGTTATGCACTCGTGTTGTTAAACATTTACTTTCACTTAGCAACAAATACTTATTTTTTTTATGCTAGGATGAATATGAAGAGTTGCTTCGTTATGCAGTAGTTACCCCTAGGTTTGAGCCAAGTGGATTGCGACAATCGGATCACATGGAGGTTCATCAGGTAGCTGCAGGTAACATGTGAAACAAGCTTTTTTTTTAAAGCATAAAGGCTGGCTTATTTTATAAACAAAGGTGGAAGATCATCCATGCTGAAATTTGAGAATTCATGGCAAAAAATAGGGTTTCTAGTTGAATAGATTGATGACCTTTTTTATTTTGGTATGTGAACTATATTTGGTATATAGTTTATATGTATGCTTTTGAGCTAGCCATTACCCTGAACTATCTATCCACTAGTGAAACTTGCAAAAATTATAGAATGTTATCTTAAACAAAATCAAGCCATGGGTTCATTTGATTCAGTCTCGTCTGTGATAATTGACTGAAGGTCTTCAGGATTTGGAGAGTCCAGAAGATTGGAATTTGATGAGTCTTGGTATTTATTCTGAGATATTTTTTATTTTATCATCCAACTATAGGTAGATCCTTTCCATAACTTAATTACGTTTTCCAATAGAAATATACTCACAATTTCTATGATCCCTATACAATTATTTGTAATTTTCCATTACTGTACAATTATTTATTTTCCATTACTAAGATGCTTTGTTAATTTATAGTAAAATTTACCTCAAAGAGGTTTTGTGGCATAGTTTGACATCTTGTGTATGTGCTGTATTTTTTACAAATATCCTAGATGAAGTATTGTTGGCTAAGCTAGATATAGAATTCTTCATATTGAATCACAGTGTGAATGTGACAGTTTACTTACATGAAAGATAGATATTTAATAACTTGCATAAAAAATTGGTTTTTAGCCAGCAAATCATTTTTGAGGCATTTCTAAAAGTATTAGTTCTATGAATGTCTACTTTTCTCAAATGTTAAATACTACTTTAATTCATCTAAAGACATTCAAAATATATTACATCATTATAGTACTAATGTTTGTAGGCAACTTTTGTTTAAAATAACCGCAGTTTTTTAAATTAATTTTTCAAAGAACAGGCAAAGTTAGAATGATTTTCAGTGTCAATACTGTGATAGAATCTAACATTCAGTAGGGCTTAATAAAAAGTTTGTTCCACATATATAGTTGTGTAACATTTGTTGTATACTTCAAATGGACGTAATGTTTAACATCAGTTTGACCCAGCTGCATAATGGTAGCCCTGGACCCTGACTGGAATTCCAATTTCTGCTCTTGGTTCACAATTTAGATTTGCATAAAAAGAAAACTTATTTGTTTGTCCAGGTAATAAAAAATAAGCCTAAAGAAAAACTCTTCCTTCAAGGAACCTATTCTCTGTAAAAACATTTACTTGCTTGGTCATTCATTCATTCATTCATTCATTTTGCAGATTTATACTGCTGCCCGTCTTAAATAATTCTAGGTGGTTGACAGAAATCTAGATAAAAACATAAAAAAATGTGAAACATCCCCAATTTAAAAATGATTGGACATCTCACAACTAGTGCCAACATAGTTGTCTGGAACTATGAAACTGCCTTTACCCATAGAAAAAGGTTAGCTTTTTTGGCTGTTATTCTCTAAGTGCCATGTATATATATGTTATGAAAACAGGTCTTGACTTGGCAATAATATTGTTTCTGCCCACTAGTAAAATAGTAAGAAGGTGATTACATATGTCCATTTATAATTAAATAATTATATAATTAAATCACAATCTGCACCCAAAACAAGTCCTCTAATCTGGAGCTAAAAAGGAAAGCAAAGAATTGGTTATGACTGATTGTAGAGGTATAGTATGAAATTAGTGACAAAGGGCTCCATTCATCTACATATCTAATGGAAGCAAATGTTCTTCCCTGAACAAAGAGAATTCATGTCTAAATATACTATGTACAGTATAAAAGGATTGTATTAAGTAGGAAGGAAAAGGACATAGCTGCCACAAATTTTGGCTTTATTACCAAGGCCAGCTCAAATTCTTAATCCTCCTTAGTCCTCCTTATACCTAAGTAGTTGCTTTTTCTTATATTATTGTGTATTATATTTTATCACATTTTCTGTTCAAGAGATTTAATTTTGTATACCATTTACCCCACCCAAGTAAAAGATTATGGGAAGTCTAGGACAGGGGTCCTCAACCCCCGGTCCATGGACTGGCACCGGGCCACAGCATACTAGCAACTGGATCGTGCAAAGAAGTGAAGTCCCATCCGCTGGATGCAGGCAGAACATGAAACCACACCCCCTCTGTCCACAGAAAAATCTTTCTCCACAGAACCGGTCCCTGGTACCCAAAAGCTTGGGGGCCTCTGGTCTAGGATTAACAAAAGACAGATGGCCCAAAGTTACCCTATAACTTTTCATGACTGAAACCTATCTTCTTCCAGACCTAGCTTGATATTTTGATTTCCACACAAACCTAGTTCCTAGATTGTACTAAATGTTCCCAGTTTTTTCCCCCTTTACATATTGAATCTGCAGACATTTCTAAATAGATCTCACCTTTATTTTGTGCTTAATATAAAAAATGATTATGAGTAAAATAGAAAGTTTTGCATTTTTTGAAAAGAACTCTTACAATTATGTCGCTAATAATAATGTTCCACATAACTGCATATATAAAAACATTAGGAATAGAGTGCTGACTGAGAAACTAGCATGGCTGTTGAAATGCAGCTTCTTAATAGCATATTGCAGAAACTGTTAAGATTCAAATAATGGGAAGATTCTAGAATTCTGTGTATTCTAAGAACAGTGTCAAGACGTCTTGACACTAATGAGAAAAACAGTATTTTTCAAGGCTAGCACTGATCAGCTTCATAGTAAAACCCTTACCTATTATGATAAATTACTGCCAAAAAATTGTCTATTTCCTCTTCTCTGAAATCTTCTGGAGATGTAGCTGCAGAGTTGTCAAGTACTAGAGGTAACAATACTTCTCTGCTTTAATGGGGATGTTGAGGGCTAATTACCATTCTCCTCCGTGAGTCTAGCACAGTCTTTGTTGGTTAAATACTTGTCCAGAGTAGTTTGGACTTAAGTGTGGATGAATGTGTCTAGCCTATGGTGAATGGAAGGCAGAAAGTCTTTGAAATAAAATGTGTGTTTTGAGAGGACCAACTATGGAAAATCATTATATTCCTCAGGTTTGCTACATGTGTTTGTTGTAGGTGTTTGGGAGTTATCTGTTTTTGGAAATAATAGGCTTGAATGCAAAATAGCCTACCATAGAATACATTGACCAAATGTCTGTTGTTACATTCAGATATACAGGATGTTTTCTTGTTGATTTGGTGTCTCTTACATTTGTGAATGATTCTGGGTGGCATAGTGTTATCCATCAGTGTTAGGTTAGGTTCAAAGCCATATTCCCTTATCAGGCATTTATAATATAAAATGTCATTTGTGCTCCCACACAAATGTATGCTCATGAAGGGCCATGAAAAACTTTAAGGATAGAAAGTGAGGAATGTAGACAGATTAAAAGAAGAATGAAAGTAGAAAATGATAGTTTTGAAAAGATCCCAGCTAGGTAAATAGATTGCATTATAACCGATTATATTTTCAATTTTAGGAAGCCCTTACATCTCAGGGTGTTTTTACCTTTAAAAATGGCTTGGAAAATTGTGATGCCATCATGTTTTGCTGCCTGATTTTCTCTGGTACTTTTCATTTTATGAGGTAAATCATAGATTGTAGACCTTGTAGTTGATTGAGCACGTAGAGAAATTGATACCTGCAAAAAATTAAATTGAATAAAACAACAGTCTATGGATTAGATGCAGTACATTTTGAGAGGTGGCTGTACCGGTAGTTACTAATCAAAAACCTTCACTTTAATTTAGATTTAAGGATAATTATATTTAAAACAAGATGGGGGGAAAATCAGAATAAAGTATACCATAATGTTAAATCTTGCATTTGAATGTTTTAGCACTTAGTTAACTAAATCTCAAAATTTGTAAGGCTCCAGTAGCTGCAGTGGCACATGTGTGGCTGTTTTGTATTGCTTCTTACTAAGATGATGATATTCCAGTAAGGAGGACTTGTGTTTGAGTGAATCTGTCCTAAAGCTTGACCTTTCTCTGAAGTACTTTATCGAACTTGTGATGGTGCTATTGTCTACAAATGGCACTTGTTAAAATGGCTTTTTTAAAATTGCAAAATTCTATTAGAAAGATTTTCCATTCAGGAAGGATCAGTTGATTTAGAGTAATCATGTGAGAAATGTCTCACATAATCGTGTATCCCCATTTCATATAAACTTGATAAGTAAAATAGGATACACTTTCTTCATGTAAATATTGCTGCCTGGTTGCAGTCTTGCTACTTCTTGCTTCTATTCATGCCTGTATTTCACTCTCACTGCAAGTAATAAAAGTCTGTGTCTGTTTCCCTAGAGTCGGGTTCCTTTTATAGCTACCTTCTTTTCTCTTTTTTTGTGCCTATTGATAGGTGGCATTGTCCAGTTAGGTATTACCAATTGCTAGCACTAATATTAAAACAGAAGAATTCTGATCAATGGCGTGAACAGTGCAGAGCTGAGTATTTGATTCTGCCTGTCTAAATATAGCCAGTCTTTTTTATCTGAAATAGGTAAGAGTCCAGGAATGAGTGACTACAGGCATGAAAGTGCAGGAATGAAATGGAGGTGCCATGGAAGAACCCCAGAACTTGCAACATCTAGTCGAACAACAAGAATAGAAGGTATAACTACTAGGACGAGAAAGAGGATAGCTTTAAAGGTTATGGTAGTTTAAGACAGACATGTCATACACAAGGTCCGCGGGCCGAATCCAGCCTGCCATGTGGTTCCGTCTGGCCCAGGGACCTGCTCTGGAAACAGCGAAGGACCGGCACATTGCACCTTGGCCCAGCCCAGGCCGACCTGGTGCCAGCCATCAAAGCCAGAACGTGCTCAGCCTTAGATCCACAGGGAAGCCCTGGAACCAGCAATGGATGCCCTTGCCCTGCCCCCTGGGCAAACACACAAGTCTTGCTCCGCAGGCTGACTTCACCCAGGACGCCAGCGCTGGTCGTCTCCTGTGCACACACCCAGGAGGTGGGGCAGAGACAGCGGGGGCGGCTCCTCGCTGATTCCAGGGCCGCCCCGTGGATCTAAGGCTGAGAGCGTTCTGGATTTGATGGACACAACCAGGTTGTAGATCAGCACCACCTACTCCTCCCAACAGCACCTCCATGGCCCCCTCGCTGACCTAGCCTCGCAGCCATGAGGCTTCCCTTTCACCAGGACTGACCCTGCCCGCCTGCGTGGGATAGCAATGGCCAGTGGCAGCATGAACACCGGCAGCGCTGGCAATCTCTCCCCCTCCCATCACCCCTTCATGAGCGTGCAGGAACGAAAGAGATGAGAAGGGGAAGGAGGGAGGGAGGGAGGGAAAAGAAGGAAGGAAGGAAGGAAGGAAAGGCAACTTGGTTGGAGATGCCCCAGTTCACGCAGTTCTGCTTCAATCCTGGATCCATTGAGACTTGGGCTCAAAGGAGAAAGCAATTTTGTGTTCTCTTTTGTCACAGACAGGACTTTATCGACAATCCAAGTTAACATTGGTATTCTTGAATTGTGAACCCTTAGGAAAGTATCCCCTCCTTGTGTATTGCAAACAGCCATTTCCAGTGGGGAAAACAGGACAAAGAAGAGTGGGGGAAAAATATTTTCCTTTGCTATATTTCCAGTCTGAATTAGACCATGGCAGGGTCCCTATAGGAGAGCTCTCTTAAGGAGTATGTATTAATAGAAAAGCAACTAACTTACCTCTGTTCCTAAATGCTAAAGCTGTTGCACATAAAAAACAGGAGCTCTGGTCAACTATCACAACTACCATTTTGACAGTTTTGCTGTACTGTTGTCTGTGGACGCCCCCACTAAATGCAAGCATGGAATAAACAGCCTGGTTTCTTCTGTCTTTTAAGTGGCCACAGACTACTAGCAAAAGTGGCATTTGATCACAAGGCAAGGAGGCATCGAGAAATGTTTCCCCTGTTGCATTTGAGCATCCAAGAAGGGACAGGAAAGGAGAAAGGGAAAGAGGAAAAACAAACAAAAAGGAAAGAGGGGAAGGAAAAGAAGGAAAGGGAGGGAAGAATGAAGATAGATTATAATGAGAAGGGTCTGAGGGAAGTCCTGCCTTAGCACTTGGCTACGAGCAGCCCTGCTGCCCTTTCATCATCCCCTTGTCCCCCTCCTCCTGACTTCTCCTGGTGGTCTCCCATCCTATTGCTGAGGATGCTTTGGTTACAAAGCTGGGTCTCCTCGCAAGGAGAGGAAGTAGGCCTCTCTCTGACCCAAACATTTTGCCCTCCCACACATACCATGAGCAACTTGGCCAATGAGAGCGAGCCAATCAGCAGCAGCCTTGAGTAGGTAAGCGCAACCAGGCGCCCCCTTGGGAAACGCTGGACTGGGCACTTGCCCTCCACTGCCCAGCGCTTCGGGCAGCTTGCATCACTGCGGGTCCTCTGCATGGCCTGAGAGGGACAGCAAGGCTCCTCTGGTGGACAAGGGTAGAGTGCTCGCCCTGGTCTCGCCTTCCTCTGCTGGAGACAATGGATCTCCCCCCAACCCTGCCCAGGCCACCACAGGTGCCGCCCAATATGAGCAACACTGAGGTGACCACGCCCACGCCCACCCCCCAAGGTCAACAACAATCCTGATGCGGCCCTCAGTGAAATCGAGTTTCACACACCTGGCTTAAGATATAAGCCTAATCTGTGATGATTTGGGGGGGGGGGTAACACATAAATCCCCATAGTTGTAACCTGCATGTATCCATATACACCTGAATTAATGTATGCCTCTTATACCATATTGTCTCACTTAAATCTACTATGGTCTTCAAGTGTATTTACTTGTAAATGTGTACAATTATTATCTAATTAAGTTACTAATTATATGGAATCCTTTTTTATTCAAAAAGCTTCTCTAATGAATATGAAGCTGCCAGTACTTTTAAAAATAAGTATAATATTTTATTTTCTTCCCCTTTTTGAAAGAAAGGAAAAGTAACACTAAAGAAGCTTATTATATGCAGGGCTTTTTTTCTCATAGAACGCCCAGAACGGAGTTCCGGCACCTTTTTTGGATGGAACCTTGTAGGGTAGGCAAGGCGGGTTGTGAGTTCTGGCACCTTTTTTTTTTTTTTTTTTTTTTTTTTTGAAAAAAAGCACTGATTATATGTATAACTTTTCTATTCCATAACATACATGTAAAGAACAGAATAACAAGAGTGGAAGGGACCTTGGAGGTCTTCTAATCCAAACCCCTGCTCAGGCAGGAAACCCTATACCATTTCAGACAAATGGTTGTCCAATCTCTTCTGTAAAATCTCCAGTGTTGGAGCACCCACAACTTCTGGAGGCAAGTCATTCTACTGATTAATTGTTCTCTCAGAAAATTTCCCCTTAATTCTAGATTGGTCTTGTCCTTGATTTCCATCCATTGCTTCTTGTCCTGCTTTCAGGTGCTTTGGAAAACACGTTAACACCTTCTTTGTGGCAGCCCCTTAGATATTGATATTAGATAAATATACACATATTCCTATCGCTTCCTTTATGGCGGAATTTAAGAGACATTTGTCTTACCCAACACAAAACATATATTTAAAGAGAGAACATAACATAAACATATGTGTATTTTTATAGAAACTGCCAGATGTTAAAATGTATTACTTATAAAAGAGATGTTGTATTTAAAATAATTGAAGGTGTTCATGTTAAAGTCAGTTATAGAAAAAAGGTTATTTTTTATCCCATTAAAGATTAGCAAATTTGTTGTAGCTTAAGTGAGTAAGAAGCCACAAGATAACATTGGGCTTTTGCAGGAGCGTTGGGGTTTTTTTAGACATTTTTGTTTTCAACTTATATTCTGCAAATCCAGCAAAATCTAATACAGTAATACAATATTAGAAACATAGTTGGTTTTCTGTTTTTATAGTTTCAGCGTCAGTAAAGGAATCAGCTCATATGGATATGGAAGGACTTTGCCCAATCCGTTCAGACGAAACTTCGTCACCAGGGTCCTCATCTAGTCAAAGAGATCTTCAGGGGACATATGTAACTGACATGAGCCTTTCAGATGATAGAGTGACCCACATAGAGAGTATTCTTGATCTGTGGAGTGGCAGCCTTAAAGTAGGTAATTTTTGTACTATATGTTAAATTCTGTGGATAACCTGGTTCGTTGTATCTTATTTTCCTCAGTCTTTGTTCTGGAATATTATACCACTAAAGAAGTCTCCTTTGACTATGTGCGTATGCCATCATGCGTGTATGTAAAAATAAAATAAAAAAATCAAAGTTAATATAATTATGTTTAAATTTAAAGTTAGCCAAAAAAAGGAAATGGGTATAAATATTGCTGAGATCTCATGACTGATCACAATCTGATTCTTTTTTTAAAAAATAGCAATATATATATATAATTCAGACAATATAAGGTATAGAACAAAGAGGGAGAAGCAACATACCATTTTTCCATCCATTGCAGTTGTTGCAAATTGTTGATCTAAGCTGTTCTTAAGTGTTTTGGATGTCAGGTGGCTAAGAAGGCCCTAACCCTTCCTTGCTTCTTTTGGTATTCAAATCGTTTAAAATGCTTTCATTTTAAGTTACATTAAAGTAACTTAAAGTAATGTTATGCTTAGCAGTTACATATAGGACCTGAAACTCTACAGAACATAGCATAACTTTAAATAAATATGTACAATATGTCCATACTTTAAACAGAAAATATCTTTCTTCTTTTTTTTTTAAACAAATTTTATTGGTTTTTTAATTCTTAGAACTTTGTTCTAAGAAAATATCTTTCTTCTAATAAATTAAATTTCACCTTGCTTTGAATTTGATATAGTAATGTGTAGAAACTATGAAATAGAGCCACCACCTTCATGTAAGTGGTTCCTATTCCTACTATAAAGAAGTATTTTGTTAATTATTGGAACCTTTCTTCCCATAATTTAAATTCATAACTTGTGCTCAGCACTCTGGAATAAGACAGAACATGTATTTACTTTCTTTTTCACGTGCTTCCTTTCAGATATTTAAAGATGCAGTTGTATTTCCCAACAACTGCTTTGTTTCAAGGCTAAACATACTAGGTCGTTCAATCTTTCTTCATAAAATATATTACCCTGATACAGCTACTCTGTACCTTCCCAATTTCTCTCTTCTTTAAAAGGTGTAGTGCGTAGAACCAGACATAATACTTGAGGTGGGATATCATGAAGCCACAATGGAATAGAACTATTACTTCTCAATTATTATATTCAATTATGCTTCTGTTGATAAAATCAAAAAATTCACTCTTTGAGCATGATTTTTGGGCCAGAAATGTAGTTGTTAACTACATTTGAGCCAGCTCATGTTAACTTAGCTTGCTAATTAGGTTATAGATAAATTTGGCAAATGCTTGGTTGAAATCTATCTATTAACAAATACATCCCTAGCTCAATGCAGCTGTTGGTCATTCCAGAAATAAGACTGTTAGACAGACGCCTGTCTTCTTGGAACTGACTTATTCGTACTGTGTGTGTGTGCATGTGCATGTGCACACCTCTGAATCAGTGTTGAATCCTGGCAACTGCCTGGATAAGTTCCTAAGTTTTCTTGGTAAAATTTTAGAAATAGTTTTACATTTCTTCCCTTCTGGGGCTGAGAGAGAGTGACTCGCCCAAGGTCACACAACTGGCTTTGTGCTTAAGGCAAGACTAAAACTCATAGTCTCCTTTTTTTAAGCTCATGCTTTAATCACTGTACCAAACTGGCTCTCCATGTGTACTTAGCTCCCTTGTAATAAAACTACTGCATTTCAAATGTTTGTCATATGTTTCTGATGCCTAAGTTCAAACTTTTATTTAATTCAGAAGAGTAGTTACTTTCATTTAACTTTTGACAGAGATAACTAGTGAAGGAATTTCCATGTCCGAGAAACTATTCTCTAGGGACTGTTGCTAAAAAGTTTTAATTTTGGATGTCACTTTTGGTTTGTTCCTTTGTTCTAGAGAATAAAATAATTTTAATATCTTTGTTTTGCAGGTATTAGAAAAATGCCACTGAATGAGAATTAGAAATCTCCCCTCTACTGTAACAAATATATACCTAGGAAATGACAAGTTTTCAAATAGCACGGTTTTTTTGTACTAGAGTTTTTAAAAATAAAATAAACTCAACCTTTATAAGTGGATATTTTCTTCCTTGAAAATAAATCCCAAAATACTTTATTAATTTATTGCTATATATAATGTTCCTATCCAAACCCTAATTGCATCTTGCTTAAAACAATTACTTTCTATTTTTTTTAAAAGGATATTTTATTTAACCTATCAGATTTTTCAGGCTATTCTTTTTTTTTAACTAAAGCAGCAAACAATTATGCAAAAGTATTATTTTCAAGATTGATGCTACCTAATTGTCATTCATCAGGTTTGGGACCTAAATATGTTATTTTAATACTTTCCTCACAAACCGGTTGCCAGAGGGAGGCAAAATACTATATACTTTTTTTTGTTTCTTTCATATGTTTTAGGATAGCATTGATATCTGTCATGGAAACTTTCTCAAAATTTCAAGTGCAGCACTTTAAACAGTTTTATGTTTTACTATATAAACCATTTGTGTTCTTAGCCTTTAAAAGCTCAGACAGCCTTTAAAAACTCAGAGTGATCTTTATTTCTCTACTAAATAACTCCTTCACTTCTTTTAAGACTAATGTTTTGACTGAGTTGAGGAAATGGAAACTTCATTTTATTGAACATCATACCTTAGAGATGAGACAAGAAAGAGAAAAGCACGCAGCTGATGTGAGACAATTGACTAATCAGATGGAGAACTTGAAGGAATTGCTACATACTTACGAGATTTCCATAGGGAGAAAGGATGAGGTAACAAGTTCTAATTTACAGGAGGAATTTTTTATATGGTCCACATTTTCCTTATTGGTTACTGTTAAGAATTGCCTTTGCAGCAAATAATTGTTTGGAGAGCAATATTTCCCTGGTATATGTGCTTGATTTTAATGACCAAGTTCAAATGAATTAATTGCATAGTTAATGCTCTTTATGCATTTTCTAATTTCTTTTTGTTCAGGTAATTGCAAATCTAACACATGCAATTGAGAAACAAAAGGACAGGATAGAGTTAATGAAAAAATTCACAAAATGGCGACTTCAGCATTTTTTGGGCAAACAAAAGGCCAGAGAAGAGGTATATATGAATTTGCTCATGTTAATCAAGATTTGTTTTTAAAAAATCCATTTTAAAAACTATATTTTAAAAACTGATCAAATTAACAGTTCTATGTGGAAACCTTCATCCTCTTTTCTATAAATAATCTGTCTCAGTAAACTGCATTTGCATTCAGTCTAAAAATGATATTTTGCACTTTAGGGTCATGTTATGGCTGTTTAGGATTATGTTACAATCATCCCATGAAATCATGAACATTAAAAAATGTTAAAACATTATTCATCCCATAAGATCTGAATGTTAACATGACCAATGTGGATTCAAGCTTTTGTCTGATTTCATGCTGAAAGTTATGGTTTGTTTATAATTGTATTATAGTTTATACAGTATAAAAGTGTTTTACAGATACTGTAATATATTCTCTTCATCAATTCTGGTATGGTACAACTATAGCACAGGTTAGAGTCCTGTTTTGGGAAGAATTAAATAAAGTGTAGTGAAACTCAGACCTGCCTTGGTGACATTCCTTTCCAGGTATATGCAAACAAACTGGCTGATCGGCTGTATAAATTAGGCTTATTGAGGAAAGCCTGGGCAATTTGGCGATCCCGCTTGAATGCAAAATGGAAAGAAACCATGGAAAAGGCTGTTCAGACAAGTTTGGAATCTATGCGTACTTCCCTCACCAATGACTATGAAGCCAAACTTCAAGCGGTAAGGAGTTTGGAATATTTGGAGAATGTTTAGTGATACGATAGCACTCCAGGGTGTTACCTAAATTAGACAAAAACTGGTTTTGACAATATTTCACTTTAGGAGAAAGGACCCATAGGATTTACTTCCAGGAAAATTTAAATAGGATTGTAGGCAAAGGTGACATTCTTGACAACATCCAGTACTTCGGCCACCAAATGTCTTTACCATTGTAGTCACACCATTTCTGTAATATACATAGTGTCTCATCTTTTTTTAAAGCATTGAATATTGTAACCTTCCCCTACAGCAGCCAAGAAACAAAAATATATTGTAACTCAGTGCTGATTCCATTTCTTTTATTTAAAGGAGCCAATTAACTGCAATTTTCCCTCACCTCTATCTTTTATCAAATATGCTAAGTGATTATCATTAATTAAATGTTTTTATTTCTTGGCTTAGGTAAATAGTGAATTGGAGGAGGCCAGATCTGAAATTATTGAACTGCAGAACCAAAGACAAGATTATGAAGATTCCATGAAGAAGGCTTTCATGCGGGGTGTCTGTGCACTGAATCTAGAGGCAATGAGCATGTTTCAGGGCAAAGATTTCAAACTTGACCAGGGTTAGTATTATGAGGGGAATGAAAGATTATTAGCATACTGGCCCTATGTCAATGAGTAATCTCAGCTGATTTCCCTAATGTGCTCTTCAGATGTGTTAGGACTACAGTGCCCAGAATTCCTCAGCCATTTGAAAAGGCTGAACTGATGTAAATTTTTCAGAAGGTTTTCTGACCATAAAAAATACAGTATTTTTATGGAGGATTAACAGTGTTGCCTTGGGGTTAAGAGGCCAATGAAGGAAATAGGGATATATAAAATATACTCTTAAGTTCTACTTTTGTGTTAGAAATAAATGGATTTTAAAATTTTTGTGGGATATATCTGTAGAGAATTCTAACTTCCACAAATAATAATGAGAGACCAAACCAATACTTTCCCCTCTTCTTTTTAACTATTTTATCACCTTTAACTTCCTTGAAAGAAAAAAGTGTTTTCTCCTCAGTTTCTGAGGAATTAAATTCTTTTCAACTATATACAGTAGATTTTCTTTCATAGATTTGTGGCAGTTTATTATGCAATCAGCATAATTCTACATACATTCTGATTTTCTCCTTCAAGAACTGAACACTTGGCACACTGTGGCTTAGGGGATGCTTTTAGATTTTTTTTCCTTTCCTATTTTGACATGTGAAACCAGCCCCCACCTGGCCCAGCAGCCAGGCCCAGCATGGTACAAAAAAGTGTTTTGGTACACTGAGGCTCAGGGGCTGCTTTTAGCTTTTATTTTATTTTTTGCAGTGCGAAGTCAGCTTCAACCTGGCCCATCAGTTAGATCAAGCATATTTCGTCAGCAGCAAGAGCAAGTAAACAGTGAAGGTCAGCTGGGCTGATGGAATGTAGGGCTAGAGGGGTGTTAAAGTGTAGGATGACAAAAAAACACGTTGGTACACTGAGGCTCGGGCTGCTTTTAGCTTTTCTTTTATTTGTTTGCAGTGAGAAGTCAGCTTCAGCCTGGCCCATCAACCAGATCGAGCATGTTTCGTCAACAGCAGGAGCAAGTAGATGGTGAAGGTCAGCTGGGCTGATGGAACAGTGTTGCAGGGGTCTTGGAGTATAGGGTGGCAAAAAAGTGTTTTGGTGCACTGAGGCTCATAGGCTGCTCTTAGCTTTTATTTTATTTTTTGCAGTGAGAAGTCAGCTTCATTCTGGCCCATCAACCAGATCAAGTATGTTTCGTCAGCAGCAGGAGCAAGTAGACGGTGAAGGTCAGCTGGGCTGATGGAACCCTGGGTTTCAGGGGCCTTGGGGTGTAAGGTGGCAAAAAAGTATGTTGGTACAACTGAGGCTCAGGGGCTGCTTTTAGCTTTTTTTTATTTTTTGCAGCGAGAAATCAGCTTCATCCTGACCTATCAACCAGATCGAGCATGTTTCGTCAGCAGCAGGAGCCAGTAGACGGTGAAGGTCAGCTGGGCTGATGGAACACTGGGTTTCAGGGGTCTTGGGGTGTAAGGTGGCAAAAAAGTATGTTGGTACAACTGAGGCTCGGGCTGCTTTTAGCTTTTTTTTATTTTTTGCAGCGAGAAATCAGCTTCAGCCTGGCCCATCAACCAGATCGAGCATGTTTCGTCAGCAGCAGGAGCAAGTAGACAGTGAAGGTCAGCTGGGTTGATGGAACGCAGGGCTCCAGGGGTCTTGGAGTATAGGGTGGCAAAAAAAGTATTTTGATGCACTGAAGCTCCTAGGCTAGTTTTATATTTTCTTTATTTTTTTGCAGTGCGAAATCAGCTTCATCCTGGCCCATCAGTTAAATCAAGCATATTTCAGCAGCAGCAGCAGCAGGAGCAAGTAGACGGTGAAGGTCAGCTGGGCTGATGGAATGATGGGCTGCAGGGATCTTAAAGTGTAGGATGGCAAAAAAAAGCAGTTTGGTGCACTGCGGCTGGGGCTGCTTTTAGCTTTTATTTGTTTGCAGTGCGAAGTCAGCTTCAGCCTGGCCCATCAACCAGATCGAACATGTTTCGTCAACAGCAGGAGCAAGAAGACAGTGAAGGTCAGCTGGGCTAGTGGAACTCAGGGCCACAGGGCTCTTAGAGTGGAGGGGCGGCAAGGGTAACTGGGACTGAGCTAAGGCAGCTGCAGCTTCCTGAGGTGTGGCAAGCCACAAAATTTGGGAGCTGCCTGCTGCCTGCCAGGCAGAATGTAGGTTGACCGAAGAGGCAGAGATGGGGGTGGCAACAGGCAGGTGGGGGATTTGGAGGCAGTCACTTCCTTTACTGAGGCTCGTGGCTGGGTGGGATCAAGCTCAGAATGGCTTATATTGGAGCCCATATTGTGAATCAATGCTTTTCTTTTTTATTTCTCCTCATAAGGGAATGGTTATTTTTAAATCTGAAATAATTAATTTACCACAGGGTGGCACTCCAATACTTCATAACATTCAATGGCAAGAATTCCACAGGTGTATATAGGTAGTCTTCAACTTAAGATCACAACAGGGACTGCGTTTTTGTCACTAAGAAATATCTATTGAGTAGTGCCTTCCTTTTGTTTTAATCTTGAATTTATCTCATCCAGAAACATGTTGTATTTAACCTTAAATCTTATCCACTTCTCCATAAAACAAAACCATAGTATTTCTAACTGTGACCACTCATTATGTGGATGTCTCCTGCCTTTAGGCCAAATGAGTTCCCTCCTGCCCCAACAGCTGCCCCTTTAAAACTGTATATTTGTGTGTGTGAAGAACAAATTCTGGGTCAAAATGACAAAATTAAAAACATAGTGATAAAAAGGAGGGGGAAATACAACACAAATACATACACACATATGCTATTTTGTTTTCCCTAATATCTAGTCTACAGGATAAATTAAAATGTCTTTATAATTATTGCCAAAACTTTTCAACATAGATGGTAAGAAAATGAGTTTTGCAATTTAAATATACATTTAAAAACTATTTGGATTAGATTAGCTTCCAAAATATTGGATCAGGGAGCAAAACCTATGTATATTCTGTCTGTCTGTCTGTCTGTTTGTTTGTTTGTTTGTTTGTTTGTAAAATTTACAGGCCACCCAATCTTACTATCTTACCACAGAGTAACGCTTGTTATATCTCTTATTCCCCTATATTGAATTTAGATTATGGTCTTTCTTGGCAAAAACCTAGTAAGGTTAGCTATTAAATCTTAGAACTTACCTGAATAAACTATCATATACAGAGGTAATAGATAATTTTAAGACAAATACCATACCATATTGAATAAATATTGTAGGGCTATTTTTAAATTAAGATGGCAACAAATAGGACTGATAATTTCTGTAAGTTTCTACATTGGGAAGTACAAATTATATAGCTTTTACAAATTTTATACCAATGTGTACTTGTCAATTTTGCTTGCAAAATTATATAGATACATAGTTATATAATAAAATTAGATATATACTATCTAAATATTAGCAATATTTATCTCTTCGTTATTTTGTTAAGTTCTGAATGTTTGTTAATTTGTTTATAGTAGTTGATCCATCAGAAAAAAGAGCAGAATCTGGTGCTGGCACTGGTAGACCTACAGCAAAATTTTCTTCATTTCAGTATGATCAGCCTATGCCATCTACTTCCTCGCTGCCACAACCACCACCTCATTTTGCTCCAACAACAGCTGGATCTGCTCCTGCAGAAGATCTTGTAAGCGCTCATTTAACACAACCTTGATTAGTAGCAGATTTCAATTCCATTGAACTAATCTTAGAGCAGTTTAATAAATGAGGATAAATTATTAAATCAGGATTGCAGAGATATTGGGCCTGAAAATCAAGGCAATATGTTGATATTAATATTTTGAATTAGGAAATAGGTGGTATGTATTTAATCTAAAGCAAACTATTACAATTTTTATTCCTGCTGTTTTGCAGTTTTCTTCTCACCAAGGCCATGCAGTAACATCTCAAACCAGATTAGACTGTGCTGCTGCCTTAACAACCTGTGGTGCTGCTACAGGATCAGGCATAATGTGCATTTCAAAACTGGTAAAAACCCACTAACATTATTTTAATTTTTTAAAACTACTTTTGCTCTCCACATATTTAGTGGGAAATTTTTCTATAGAACTCATTGGAACTGGACCTTTAATATATATCTATATCTGGAAGTTACAAGTTTAGTTAAAATGTCCTACTTCCTTTTCATCCCCTTTTTCAATCAAAGTTGAGGATAGATTCAAGTGTGTGAAAATACTAAGGGATGTGATCATTGGCATATGACAGCAATAGGGACAGAAATTTCCATCGCTAAGCCATATAGTCATCTCTTAGCTATGGCAATCTCTGTAGTCCTGGTTGCTGTTGTTAGCTGAATGCCATGGTCATCAGGCAAGGCAATTTCAGGTTACCTTTCCACAACCAAAATCAGTGGGGAAGCCGGCAGAAAGTTGCAACGCCTAGGCAGGCAGGTACATGGCTGCTGCCAGATGGAGATGGTAAAGAAGAAGTGTGGGAAGAATGTACCAGAGTGTGGCATGGGTTGGGAAGGGTGTATGGGATAGTGGTATAAATCGAGGCTACACAAAGGTGTGGCATGGTTTGGGGAGAGTGCAGCACAGGTCAGGGAGTAGGTGCAGGATGTGTGTAAATGGCCAGTGCAGCATGAATGAAGAGAAGAGAAGGATGTACAGGTGGGGTAGACTTACCCCAGTGACTTGTGACCTTCCCTGCCAACTTGCTCATTGATTTTCTGACAAGCCGGCAGAGAAAGTTGAAAATAATGATTATGTGATTGCAATGCACTGCAACTGGCAAGTTGCCAAGCTTCAGATTGCAGTCATATGACCATGGGGGGGGGGGGTGCTGGGATTGCTGGAACTAACCACCATTTGTTCAGTGCCAGCTTAACTTCAAACAGTTGCTGAATGGTCATAGGTCAAGGACTACCTATATGTCCACTTTCCTAAGTCAGTCAGTTCTTTCAATAGAAGTAAGACAAAAAAGGCCTGTTGTTGAATCACTGGTGTTGATTCAACAACAGTTTCCTTGTATTATCAGGTAATCAGTGATTATGAAATGATTTAATGCTGTCCTTTCTTTGAAATATTTGCAGTCTCTTGAAAATGAAATTCTAGACAAGAAATGAGATCAATGAACTGCCACAAAGAATGATAAGGAAAAGGACCCTGAAGGCGTGAATGCCTCTGAAATATTTATATTTCAAATATTTATCTTTGGTGAAGAGAGCCCCAGAAGCTTTCATAAGGCTATTGTCCCCAGGGTTTCCTTTCTAGCTCAGAAAAATGTCAAAAATTCTGCAGCTCTAGTAATTAGGGTTTTTGTTTACATAGAAGTAAAGTTTGTGGAATGGAATCTTCTAGTTGTCTTTTCTGAAGAAATGCTCATGTCATGATACAAATCCATAATCTACAAATAAGACTGTATTTCCAGTTATCAAGACTCTAGAAAGAATGTGTTCCATTGTTATGAGAATATGCTGTTAGGATTTGATGATCCAGGAACCAAAAACTTATATATTCAGTTTTTCCTAACCAAAGATAGGGAAACATAATATTAAGAAATCTAGCTTATAATTTAAAGCTGCTTTAAAAAGTGCTATGTGGTTCTTATATAATTAGGATTTTTGTTTGGCTTGCCACAGCCCATGACTAGAGTGGTAACATCAGCTCAACAAAAGGCTGGAAGGACAGTCACTGCAAAAATCACCGGTCGTTCAGATTTTGCGGCAAAGAATCGTATTTGCAGTAACTTAGATGTCTTGGGTGTTTCGCCCCCCATGAATTCTGTTGTGGTGGAGAAACATCATCCTGTCACTCAGGTAAATAATGAGTTCTGTGAGTAACGTCTGCATTTTATGTTTCCTTTTGATTGGTGACTGGTTTGCTTTAGGGTTCTCATCAGAATTATTGTGGAAGTTCAGATTAAAAATGCTTACTGAATTAGTTTGTCCACACTTTTAGGTTCCTGTATTTTGTCTAGCATGCGATGGAATTCCATATGTGCCATTAGGCAGGTACTGGCCAATCAACCAAACATTGTGGTAGTAAATAAGGAGCAGAAGATGGTGGTAGCGATAGACAGGGCTTTTTTTTTCGTCATAGAACACCCAGAACGGAGTTCCGGCACCTTTTTTGGATAGAATCTTGTAGGGTAGGCAAGGCGGGTTGTATGACGTGTGTGAGTTCCGGCACCTTTTATATATATAAAACCTCAGAAATGGGATTCGAACCTGGGAAGTTATACATACTAGGCAGTGATTTAGCCACTAAGCCACAGGTTCTCTTCCCCTCTTTGCCAGCAGAGTCAAGGGAGTAATTATAGGGAGTTCAGACAGATCGGTCTGATTGTGAACACCTTGACATTTTCAACTGCCATACTGCAGTTTTTCTCTTTTTACAATATCTCTTGCCTTGCCGCCCCCAACTAGGGGCATAGAGCAGGCTCAAGTCGCAACTGCGAAATATTTTTATATCCAAATTTCTTTTTTCTGACAAAGAGTAAAGAATTAAATTGGGAGACTAAGATGGACTATTTCTGGCTGCAGTATGGCAGTTGAAGATGGACCATTTCTGGCTGAAGATGGACCATTTCTGGCTGAAGATGGACCATTTCTGGCTGCAGTATGGCAGTTGAAAATGTCAAGGTGTTCACAATCAGACCGATCTGTCTGAACTCCCTATAATTACTAGGAACTGAGACGACCGTTTCTCCCCTTCTCTTGGACACCGAATCACCGATTTAGTGACGGATCATACATATTGAAGGGTCCAAGCTTAGGGTATTTCCCATACCGATTGACTACTTCCGTTTTTTCGGTCTTTACCAGGTAGAATCAGAGGGTTAAATTAAGAAATGAGAAACAGTCTTTTTTCTTTAAACCTATATTTAATATTTCGCAGTTGTGACTTGAGCCTGCTCTATGCCCCTAGCAATAGATATAGCAGTGCCAAGTGACAGCAGAAGAATTCAGGAGGAGAACATATAAAAAGCTGGAAAAGTACCAGGGTCTGAAGGAGGAATTAGAGAGGATGTAGAAAGAAAAGACCAAAGTGATCCCAGTAATGGTAGGAGACTCCTGGGACTCCTAAGCTAGGCAAATGGCTCCAACAGATCCCAGAATTGACATCAGAGCGTTCTGCCCAAAAGAGTGCAGTGCAAGAAACTGTTAAGATATTTCACAGAACCATCAAATTCCAGGCCTTTGGTAGAGGGTCCAAGATTGAGGAAGACACTAACATCCACAAGGTGAGAAGGGAATTAAGTATATATGAAAAACAAAAAAGTTAGAAACTAAAAAATACTGTTCGCTTAGCTGCAAACCTCACCTTAAATTATATCACACCCGCCTCCTACTACCAAGTAGAACAGGTTGGTCTTCAACATTTGTCTGAAGCCCAAGGGGAGTTTATGAATTTGGATATAAATCAGTATCATCTGTATTTCGTTTGGTTTTGGTATAAATTTTGTATATCTCTATATTCAAAATGTGTGTGTGTGTGTGTGTGAATTTAAAGAATCCTAAAAATAAATAAAGGAACCCAAAATAGCTTGAAACATGCTTAATGATCGCTGGGGAGTCTTGAATTTTGAATGTCAGTTGGAAGCAAGAAACAGAAGACTGGATGGATATCTTAGTACTCCATAGTTGGAGATGGTTCTGTTAACTGGAATATGGAAACAGGAACTTATAGAAGGTGCCAAATTAGTTTTGAGGTTTTTCAAATGAGATTTAAAAAAATGCTGGTCTGGAATGTTTCCAGTTATTAAGGAGACTATGGAGGAACCAAGTGTCTGATTTAGTATGAGAGAAATACCACTGGGGATAGTTGTTTGGCTTCCAGAGTAAACATACACTTCCATTTTCCTTGATTTTCAGTTTGATTTCCATGCTGTGTATTAAGAAAGAATAGTGTCTCTCAAACTCACGATGAGAACATAGGGAACTGGTGGCACCACTCTTATTTCCAAATGAAATTTGCTTCATTGCATAACTAAGTGCTAGAGGTAACTGCTTCTTCCTATAGCTGCAGCTACAATAACCCACATCTAAAATGGCCCAGAAAGAGACAGAAAATTGTACTGTTAAGGCAAGTGGACTGCTAGGTAATTTCCATACAGCGGATTTTTGATTTTTTGTGGTGGTTGTTTCTTTTTGTTCCAAGAATATCTTGAGAAAAGCTGTTAATATGGATTCTAAGATTCTAGGCTATAGTTTATTGTATTAAATGGGAGGACTGGAACCTGTTCAGTGATAATCTTTGACTAGACAGGTTAAACTGGTTTGTTAAAAAGCTTGGAGCAGCTTAGTAAAATCTTGAGGGTATTGCCTGAGTTATTGAACAACTTCTGGCAAGTCCTGGCCATGTTTGTTTCATGTTCAATTTTTTTTATATATTATTAAAATTGTTTTACCTTATGAATTTGGATAGATAAATAATAATAACTTTTTGCTTATATCTTTCAGCAAACTATATCTCAAGCTGTTGCTGCTAAATATCCTCGAATCCTGCACCAGTCTTCTAATGCTATCAGCGTGAGACATCTAGGACACAATGGGAAAACTCCTGCCCAGACTCACAACAACATTCAGTCAATAAAAGTAGTGGAGTAGGTTAGCCGGTTGAAACGCCTGTACTTTATTTTAAGCACATGGAGAAAATTTTCCAGGTTATTGTTTAACATGTGATCCCTGGTGCTTGCAGATTAATGGAATAATAACCCAAGATGCATCATGTTTTTCCTCTCAATAATATTGTACATGTAGATATTTTGAAGCGTAAAAAATGTGCCACCCAAGATGGCATAATGTAGTTCTGTGTAACTGCAAATAAGGTATACTTGAAATTTTTACTTTCTTAAACTTATTATATATGCTTATTTAATGTTTTTAATAAAATGAAGTATTGAACTTGTATATTCTAAAAGTTATTCCTGCTTTATATGTGAACAAGAGCATAGATCATTTTGCCACATTCTGAATTGCTATCTAAGTTGTCCATATATAATCTGATTTGACATTCAAATTTTTTTTGATTCTGCTATATTTTATCTTCAGCCATTCGTAGAACAGGAACATTACAGAGAAATTTCATTTTGTGCAACATAAAACTGGTTTAGTAGTCTTACTCCATTATGGAGAGGTATATAAGTCTAAGTGCTATTGCTATTTACTATGGTGGGAATTCAGATATTTCCATAAGTAATATTTACTGACATCCTCAATCCCAGCTGTATTCCCACCAAATGTTTTATAGCAGCGGCCCCCAACCTTTTGGGCACCAGGGATTGATTTGGTGAAGGGCAGTTTTTCTGCAGACCTGGGAGGGGAAGCATGATTTCATGCACTGGCTGAATCTCGCACATGCACAGATGGGGTTTTGCGTGCTTGTGCAGACCAGTTCCTGGTGGGCCATAGACTAGTGCTGGTTCGTGGACTAGGGGTTGGGGACCCCTTTTCTATAGGGTCCTCCAGTGTAGATTTTAAGAATGTACAAAAATATTCTCCCCCCCCCAGGGTGGGGAAAAAAGAAAAGGAATGTGACATTAGATAATACCCTAAATGTGGATGAATAAATAAGCACCAACATTTTATACAAAATAGCAGTGGTGTGAATCTTCTCCATGCTGGTAGCGATTTTTCCTGGTTCTCCATTGCAATTTGCAGTTGGAGCAATAAAGACTTGGAGCAATAAAAACATGAATAATGTTTTGTTCATGGATTTTCTTTTAGCTTCATATACTTTTTCATTCTTGTTATCTCTTATGCTACTGTAAGGAGACCTTGGATGGGAGTAAGCATAATGGAATGTGGGAAATGATGTCAGTGTTTAGAAGAAGACAAAGAAGCACCAATGAAAAAAGCAGTGGTTGTGGTGTGCTAATGGTGTTTTATATACTAAGTAGGATCTCTCAGTGTGAGAGCTGTTTCTAGGATTCTTCCACCCATGCTGCCCATCCTTGTGATCAAATAGGCGTACCAATAGGGAAAGACAATCTTCTATATCAACTTGCTTTTCCATAAGATAATGTTAGACAGTATTCTTAAGTATACATTCCTTGTACACCTACTACTAAATGACTAACTGCAGCAGGTAATCTGGGTTTGCAAAATGGATGCAGGAGCTTAAGTAATAAAGCAGGTATTGAAAGTGATCAAACAATGTACTATGGATTGGGCCATGTAGTTATTCAGATTGAAAAGGAATATGTGATTAAGGTATATTTAGTCATGTTAGCAACTCAGATGCGTTTTTTTGTATCTCAACAAAAAATATGGCTGAGGTTATTACGTGAACAATCCTCTGCACTCAAATCACTTTTTCTGCTTCAAATCTGGATGGCTTCAGCTGTATCATAGGTATGTATGTTATGGCTCAAACCATATTTAGTTAGAAACATTTTGGTTACATGCAATAATTGTTGATAAAGGGGTAAATGTGCTTTAAATTTACACCAGGAATACTAAATACTATGTTTATTTGCCTCAGATTCCTAATACATGGTATAGTATATTATAAGACTATAAGATTTCCCTCAGGCTGAGCTTTGCTCCTGATTACCATATGGACACATCCATGACAATAGCATGAAGTGCTTTATCCTTTTCATTCATACATCTACACATGCACACACCACTCACACGTATGATATTCTCATTTGGGGGTAAGCAAAGGATCAAAAATAATAAGCAAAAGAAGTTTGCGGCAGAAAATAGTGAAAAACAAATCTGGTTTAAGCTCTATTTTTCCATATTTTCTATCCTTGCACACCAGTTTCTCTTCTTATCTTCACACCCATCCACCAATTCATACTGCCTTTGTTCTTTAATCTTCAGGATCTCATCATCAGCCAGCCAGAATTCTGCTTTTTGTTTTCTAATTTTCTGCTCATGCATTCTTTCTATATAACTTTATTACCGGAGAAATGTGCCTAGGATTGCAATTTAAATCTCTTATCATTATTACCTTAGATTCAAGGATGCACTTTTTTACTTGGTATGGCTGTCTGCATATTTTCCTGTACAAATTTCTACTCAAAGGATCTCAAACACAAAGTCAAAGGCATTTGATTATGAGATGAAGAGAGTTTGTGTCACCCTTTAAATCCTACTTCATTTATTTAGAATAGAATAGAATAGAATAGAATAGAATAGAATAGAATAGTTGAAGGGACCTTGGAGGTCCTCTAGTCCAACCCCCTGCTCAGGCAGGAAAAACAATACCATTTCAGACAAATGGTTGTCCAATCTCTTAAAAAATTCCAGTGTTGGAGCATTCATAACTTCTGGAGGAAAGTTCTGATTAAATGTTCTGTCAGAAAATTTCTCCTTAATTCTAGATTGCTTCTCTCCTTGATTAATTAATACTAATACTACTAATAATAATGTTGGAAGGGACTTGGGGGTCATCTAGTCCAACCTCCTGCTCAGGCAGGAAACTCTATACCAGTGGCTCCCAACCTTTTCTATACCCTGCACCCCTAGAATGCTTCTGATATATTCTCGCACCCCTTACAAAAGTTCAAAATAATGGCAACGAATTATGCATATACACTATAATTTTGAAAATCCAAGTTTTCGTACTCCCTGGAATATCGTCTTGTACCCCCAGGGGGTACGAGCAACCCCGGTTGGGAACCCCTGCCCTATACCATTTCAGACAAATGGCTGTCCAGTCTCTTAAAAACTTCCAGTGTTGGAGCATTCACAGCTTTTGGAGGCAGATTGTTTCATTGATTAATTTTTCTAATTCGGGACATTTCTCCTTAGTTCTAGATTGCTTCTCTCTTTAGTTAGTTTCTATCCGTTGCTTCTTGTCCTGCCCTCAGGTGCTTTGAAGAATAGGTTGACTCCCTCTTCTTTGTGGCAATCCCTGAGATACTGAAACACTGCTATCATGTCACCCCTCATCCTTCTCTTCATTAAACTAGGCATACCCAATTCCAGCAACGTTCCTTACATGTGTTAGCCTCCAGTCCCCTAATCATCTTTGTTGCTCTTCTCTGCACTTTCTAGAGTCTCAACTTTTTTTTTACTTTTTTTTTTACATTGTGTCACCAAAACTGGCCTTACCAAGGCACTGTAAAGTGGTATTAACACTTCACGTGATCTTGATTCTATCCCTGTTAATGCAGCCTAGCACTATGTTGGCTTTTTTGGCAGCTGCAGCACACTGCTGGTGTCAAAGCAATAATATCCTATATAATTAACATTAGTCGGAACCGTGACAGCTGGCTCATATTTAAGTGATTGTCCACTAGGACTCCAAGATGCCTCTCACTGTTCCTACTATTGAGTGAGGTACAGTATACTGTACCTGTGCATTTGTGTTTTTCTTCCCTAAATGTAGAACCTTACTTTTTTCACCATTAAATTTCATTTTGTTAGATAGTGCTCAATGTTCAAGTTTGTCAATGTGTTACTGTTTTTACACAAGTGTTCTTAGAAAATATCTTATTTAAAATATCAAAGAAGTATATTTGTGGAAGCAGTGTGACTATCTTCTCAAGAAATGTTTTCTTTCATTCTACAAAAAATTAACTGAAAGAGTATTATGTACAGATTGCATGGCAGAGTTGTTAACATACCTTCAGGTGCAAGTGGACTCCTACAGGAGTTTTCAGTCATACACAGGAGAAAAAATAATAATCTACCATTGACTAAAATTATTTTCAAGCAGATCTTCAGTTACTACCATGTTCATTTCCCCACTGCTTTTGGAACCCAAGAACTCATATAACTCCATATTCTTTTTCCAGCTCCAAATATAGGTCACTCCTGTTTAGTGAGGTACAGCCACTCAAGATTTTAAGAAATGAATCAGTAAGCTGGAGAATTCTGAATGGTGAAGTGGGATTGGAAAGAGCCAATGGAGGTTGAGAAGTCCTAGTCAGCATGGGAATGGGAAGTTGATGGGGTGGGAGATATTACAGAAGTGATGAGAAGATAAGCCTTCTTTATAGAGAAACAATGAATAATTTGTTTATAAATAATATTTTAATACTCATTTATGATCCTATTTGATTGCTCCAAATTCCCTTGAATTTCATGAAACTGAACATTTCTTGGATTCTGTGCCAGCATTATTTTCTGCTCTGAATTTTTCTGCAAGAGGAAACATTCTTGTTAGAATTCAGAAAACACAACATGCCTTTAATCTTTTTGAGGTGTAAATAAGTTCAGGCATAATATACAAAGTTTAGTAGCCACTCAAAACCATTCTGCTGCTATATGTATAGTTACTTAAAATTAAATTAAAATTACTACAGATTTATAAAGCTGAAATAAGCCCCTCTCAAAATAAAACTGGCTTTGCTTTTATTGTACTTACTGTAGTAAGAAATTGGATATATTGACCACTTACTGCCACTTTCTTTCTTATATGCTTACAAAGCCCAAGGCTTTTTGCAATTCTGTGCTTACCTAGAAATAATTCTATCAAACACATTTGCTTAGAAATATATTCAGGCATCCCTAATTATATCGGTAGTCCTTGACTTACAACAAATCATTTAGTGACCGTTTGAAGTTACAACGGCATTGGAAAAAAGTGACTTAAGACCATTTTTCACACTTATGACCATTGCAGCATCCCCATGGTCACATTATTTTCATTTGGATGCTTGATAGCTGGTTCATATTTATGACGGTCGCAGTGTCCCAGAGTCATGTGATCATCTTTTGCAACCTTCTGACAAGTAAAGTTAATGGGGAAGGCACATTCACTTAACCACGCCACTAATTTAACAACTGCAGTGATTCATTTAACAAATGTGGCAAGAAAAGTTGTAAGATGGGGCAAAACTTACTTAACAAATTTCTCACTTAGCAACCTAACTTCTGGGCTCAATTGTGGGCATAAGTTGAGGACAGCCTGCATTTGCAGCCTCTTGTTTTATTTGTTAGAAAGTTTGATTATACTTCTGCCTGTCCAGCATACTTATGTTACCTCCTATTTTTCTTTCTTTTTGCTTACAAAGACATGTTCTCCCTCTCTGCATTGCCTTTCCATTTTTGTATTTGATTTATATCCCCCTTTCATTCAGCAGCATACCCAGTGCACTCTCCTCCTATTTTCCTCCATAACAAAACCCCTGTGCTGCAGGTTGGGCTGAGAAAGTGAGTGGCCTCAAGTCATCTAGTCGTGCTGGCTGGGGAATTCTGAGAGTTGAAGTCCGCATGTGTTAAAATGGCTAAGGTTGAGAAACATTGGTCTAGAAGATTAAGGGTCTGCAACCTTGACAACTTTGCTGGCTGAGGAATTCTAGGAACTGAAGTCCACAAGTCTTAAAGTTGTCAAGGTTGCAGAACCCTGGTCTAGACTCTCTCCCTGTTTGAAATATGGAACCTCCTGGCTTTTATCATAGCAAGCTACTCTGCTGGAGCAGGACTGGAGAATAAGAACTAGATGAATAATGTCATTTGGTTCATCATGTGGAAACAAGCTGCTTCAAGTGTTTTTAAGGGGCTTCTCACTAGGAAGCATTGTCTGAAGACCCCGTCAGGTAAGAGCAAGTCTGTAAATCAGTTCTCTGTAATCTAACTTGATTTGCCCTGAATTTTTTTCCAAAAGGGAAAAGTGAACAGGCTCTAAGTGTGATGCTTATTACAATTGCTCACCAGCCAATTGTTGAAATCCCGCACTTATCAGATCCTCATATAAATATTTAATGGGATTCTGGCCAGCCATCAAAACACCATGTAACCAGATAAGAAACATTCTGTGTCCATGTTCCTTGTAGCTCTTTTTCCCTAGAGGATAATATACAAAATGTTAGCCTACTGTTTGGAGAAATGCTTCTGTGTTAAATTTTTGGCTGCAAAGGTTTGTTTCAAGATTACATTCTTTCAAGACCTAGATTCTTAAACTTTTTTTGTTGGAAAGGGAAGGTAGAAAAGACTATGGTAGTAGAGGTAGAGCATAATGAAGATCAGGCCAATTAACCCTCTTTCGTTCCCTCCACTAATTCCTAAGAGGAAATATGAAGAGATCTACTACTAGAGAGATGCCCTTTCAGCAGCAGATTGCAAATATATAGAAGACAGTAATGTTGAGGATGACCTTACACAAATGAGACATAAAAATCTGATGACATAAGTCCTTTTTTATATTAAGAAGTTGTAAGAGATTGTTATTCAGCCCCCCTCCACCTCACCACATTAGCAGTCAAAGTGTTATTTCCTAAATTGTTTTTGCTCTCTAGGATGAAAGTTATGGGGATTCTGTATCTTTCCATGGGTGAGACAGTGGCTTTGGCAAGTATGGTTTTGAGAAAATAACAGGAACACAAAGCATTAAACAGCCTTGGCGTTCCCATCTACAGCTGGATATTCATTTGGGAGGGGTTCTATTGCCCCTCTCCTCATAGTTAGGTATTTTTAGTGCTCTATGGAAACAAAACAGTTATTTTTCATATCAGAAAATATGCTCCAGGGCAGTAGCTAAAGTTTAAAATGTCAACAATATAAAATAATAAGCATCTAAACTGTGCCAAATATTAAATAGGATAGAATTCAACCTGCTGAAAGATGTACAACAGACATCAACATATAAACAAAATCATGAAGCAATCAAAACATTTTATTCTTTTGTTAAAAACTGAATCTCCTTTGAAAGATCAGAGTATGTTCCTATCACAGAAAACACCCCTTCCTAATGTATTTATCTTACCAAAGCACTTGGAGAAAGGCCTCCTAAGATACAAATAAAATATGGCAGGTTTAAGACGGTATGGGGAATCAGTAAGTATAGATGCTGAAGGGACAATCAGTTGGAATGCAGACTAGCTTATTTTAGACCATATTCAAGGGATAAATTTGTATGTCTGTTTTTATCAAGGGATAGAGAGGCCTTGTCTGTCTGTTTTTATCAGTGGAGGTTCCTAGATGTTCAACAGTAAGGGAGGAATGGTCCTCTATAGTGTTAGTATGTCTAATCCAACCCTGTAGGAGTTGAAGAGTAATCAAGTAGAAAAAATAGTTTTTCACTTAGTGTAACGGAATGAGGCTCCTATTTCATATATACTAATTGGATGTTTAGGAAATCCTGATGAAGGGATATAATTGTCTAGGGAGATTCTCAGTTATCCAGGTCACAGTTGTCTCAAAGGTGCTTTTTCAAAAGGCAACTAGACTGCTTTCTGAGGAAGAAAAAGAAGTTTCACTTCTCATCCAAGAAGCTTCATCACTTGTGACTGGATGGTGGGGGGATGGAAGGATTGTATTTTTTTGCAGTCATCTGGTCATTGGCACTCTCTGGGAGAGTCGTGGAGGCCACTTAGGGGTTTCTCTGTGTCCTCAGGGTCACCTGAATCAGAGTGCAAATGGTTATGGACTTCTTGGAACTGCTGAAAGGACCATGTTGTAGATAGGAGATAGGTGGTTTAAAAGAGGGGTAAAAGAGTCCATCTATGTTAGAACTGAACAGACCTCCCTCAACAGAGGGGGAAGAATATGACACCACCTTTCGTATCTCCCGTCTACAATGTAGTCCTGTCTTGTTTGCAGCAAGAACTAGAAGAATCATCAATTTCCAAAATGCATTTTATTTAATCTGTTCTGAAGAAGTGTAAATATTGAAATAGACATTTGATATAACATATGCTAAAAACTGCAGCTTGATATTGATGAAGCTCATAAAGGTGGACTCTAAATCCATGTTTAATGCCTTGAATTTTGACTGGCCTATGTAATGATATACACCTTTAACATTTAAGAAACTTCACAAAATGAAAGCTACAGTCTCCACATACTGCAATGAAATTGTGCTTTGTTTTTCTTTAAGCACACACATAATCACATATCTATTTTTCTAATTAGCTTAGAAACAACATTTACAAAAATATCCAATAGTTATTTTATTTCAATTTTCTTCCCTATTCTTTTTTAAAAACACTGAAAGAATTGAGTTTTATAAAGAAAGAAGTCTATATAACTCAGAAATACTATCATGGATTTTAGTTAACTTTCCTATACTTGGAATGGGAACACTGGATTTTTAAAAAAAAATCCAGCAACTTACCTGTCCACTGTTCTTCTATTGCTTTGATTTGTTCATCTGTAAACTTCCAAAATTGTGCCAGTTTTACCCATTCACGCATTTTTAACCTATTATATGCTAGATTCCAAAGAGATGCACGGATCTGTTTGGTCTGCATGTTGTGATCTTGTTTAAAAGATAGATTAATATCTGACACATTACAGTGATGCTCCTGCAAAGGAAATTTCAGGGATTATATCACGTATTCTTGTTTTCACTCTCAAAGAACTATAATCTTTGGATATTATTCTAAATATTTTACAAATGTTAATAATGTCAAATACATGTTTTTCTTTCCTTCTGTTCAATTACAGTATGTCCAATTGAATTATGTCCAACAAGGTTTTTCAGAAATAGTTTACCGTTGCATCCTTCCCAGGACTGAGAAAGTAACTGGCTCAAGTGTCAAAGGCAGGACTAAAACTCAGCTTGTAGCCTTATGCTTTAACCATTACATCAAACTGGCTCTCTAGCTATATGGTACTGAATGTCAAATCCTTCAGCGGTTTTCAATTCTTCAGTTTTATATGCCTTATTCACCAGGCTCTGGCTGATGCATCTTGGAGTACTAGTAAAAGTAGAGGCTTGACAATGCTGAAATCTGCTCACAAATCACACTTTGGGGCTTTTCAAAAAAATGCAAGCAATGTACTCTGCTTCCCCCAAATTGTCCTACTTCTTTTATACATTATATTTATCTGCACAAAGTTATTTCATAGCTCCTTTCCATTGATAACTTAGGAAATAGCTTATAACATAGTAGGGAATATTGTGGAAGTGAGCTCTCCTTGTTTGCCTATAACAGACATTTATAGAGAGGCACTTTCTATTACAAAGTTGCTCAAAAATCAATACTTGTTCTTATTTCCTTTGGTCATTCTTTATAATCTAATATCATTTTCCTCCTTTGCCTGTGTTAGTAATAAGCATTAGCAAATATATTTATCTAGCCTCCAAAGCAGCCCCTTCTATTCCCTATGGTACAAAACAGTTGCTAAAAAAATCTTATCCATACCAGGTTCACATATAAGACAACTGGGAACTATATTGACAAGTATCAATATAGTTAATATCACACAGCATTAAGAAAGCCAGGTAAGTCCAAACTAAATCTATTTTATTTGCAACTCCTACTCTGTCCTCTATCTTCAGTTGTTTTCAGCAGGAGAAAGTAGTGCCATACAGTATGCAGAGTAGAACCTCCTTGTTCTCTTCAGCAAAAATGGAGGGTTCACAACTTTATACCGTAAAAGCCTGAACAGATTTGCCATATTTCTGTGCATCCTGTTCTACAGACCTTTGCCCAGGAGTATCAAGGAAAGAGGCAAAATCTTGCACTAGCATCAACACAGGTGACACCTTAATTGAAGGAGGTAATTAGTAACTAGATTAGGTAAGCTGATGATTGTTGCCTTATCTAGCTTTCTGGTTTCTAATACGCCCATGTGGGAGGAATGGCAGAACCTGAGGGTGGAGTCAAAAGGGAGAGTAGCCTAGAATTCCTATGTAGCCAGAAGCAGACTAAGTCCAAACCTCCTTTTCTGTGGATCCTTATCTAACTCCAAGCTGGTGCTGTTAGTTGAGAATATTCCTATGCACAGGCTGCAATAAACCAGTTTTGCAATAAACCGGTTTATTGGACCTTCACATCTGGACCTGGTCTTTCACACCTGACAGCAGCCAACATATCCAAGCAGACACATTTTGGATTACACTTATGAAAATTATCTTTGGAAACTACCAATTTCTACAAATGCAATGATTTCTTCTGTCAATTTTTAACACTATCAGCTAAGAAATAAAACTGGAAATTCAAGACTTCATTAGTAAATAGAAGTTAAAAAGCAACCTAAGAATTTAACTTCTTTAATATCTTATCAATGATGGCGTAAGGAAGGGCTGCTGGGCAAAGTGAGAAGGGAAGAGAAAGAAACAGGATACTTCTGATCTACAATTTCCTACCAGTTCTGCAAGGAAGCTTCAAACTCCAGAACTAAAAATAAGGTATTTTGCTTATGAAATTCAATATAATAGAGAAACATGCTTGACCAGAAAAGCCAAATAAGTTGTGTCCTACCTGTTTCCAGGTGTAGTACCTCTCTGCTTTTATAATCATGTCTACAACTAAGGCATGATTGCTTCTAGATGCTACAGCAAGTGCAGATTTTCCTTGCTAAAAATGTAAACATTGTCAGTTATTAAACTAAAGGTATACCCCCCCAAAAAATCTGTGCTAAGGTACAAAATATGTTGCAAAATTCTCTAATCTCACTGCCATGTATCTTGAGAAGTGTTTTTAAACACTTTTTTAAAAAGTCATTTTGGCCAGCAACAACCAATTTTTTTTAGAAATCTAAATATAATTCTGTATCTAAGTAGGTAAAATGTTTCCATGGATTCTCTATTTCCTCTTAAAAAGTTAAAAATCCTGCAAACCAGCTAGCTACTGCTTTTCACTAATCTGTGTAGAAGCACAAATATTTCCAACTCAGATGTACTTCCAACCTATTAAATTTGTAAAATTTTGAGCAGACTTTTAAAAAAGTGAGTTAGTGGCTACAGGTATATTTACATGCCCCACTTTGGCTCAATGTTGCCTGGATAGTAGTTCTTGAAGGACACCTTCACAATACAGCTTTCTTCCCATAACAAAAACCACCTTGATTTTTTTTTTGTAATTTAAATTGGCGTTTTCCATTTTCTCCCAATAGATACCTTACACATGACATGAGTGCTTTGGTAGTAATTGAGCTAATAATATAGCAGGATTGGAACCTACCCAGTACATATTGGTCACTTTCAGTGGGTAGTGGCTGACAGGCAAGCTGTCTGCTGGCTGAAAGATATGACTCTCTGAAGTCCTATTTACACTCCCTTCCAAGTTTCCATGCATGGTGTGCTGCAAGTCACATTAGCAGATTGTGTGCATGGTTGTGGCATGTGGTCCTGCAGGAGCAGTGCCTACTGAGAAGATTGCTAACATGGCTGCTGGCACATCATACTGTGGTGCACATGCTGAAGTAAGAAGATCGTACGTTATGACATCAGACTGGAATTGGTGCCCTCCTGCTTCAACCAGCACCACCACCAACCTATGCACGGAATGGTGGCATGTGTGGGGCAAATCAAGTGAAGGAGAAAGGAGGGGAGAGTGTCTCCCGCTTTTCTAGAAACTTTTTGGATCAGGTGCTGCAAGTAATCCATGATGGATAATCTTGGTAAAGCAAGAGTGGATTGTTTATTAGGTTCTGAAACAGAGCTAAATCTCTTATAGCCATCTGTTAAAACTTAGCTCCTTCCCCAGCTTCAGCCTCATCTCATGGTAGACAGAAATGGGTGATTGTTTTTTCCACCATCAGCGAAATCCCTCTATTTCTGCACAATAACTTGCCTCCGTTACAGATAGCACCACTCAACCAGTCTTGTTAACAATGATAGCAGGAGCACAGGATCAACGGACCAAAGCCCCACCCCTTTTTAATATCTGTGTGACATTGCACATTCCTAAAAAAGACTTTGTGCTACTTTGACCGACATTTTTTTTTGCATTCCCTCTGCAAACACCTCTAAAAATATTTAGACTAGCTGTTTTACTTGTCAAAATAATTTTCCTCTTGCCTTATGCATTCTGAAACAGAAAAAAATCACAGAAGCTTCAGAAAAGAATAGAGAAATGGAACCATCTCATTTCTAAGATCTTCTCTATCTTGCAGCTGCCAAATTTTTGGATTCATTGCAGTACCCTGACTTCATGGTAAAATTACTGTGCTGGGAGCATATACTAATATTTGATTTAATCCCTATTTTTCAACTAAATTCAATTCTATTCAAATAAAGCCTAAAAAGTTATATATTTATCCACCCACCCACCTCTTGTGGTGGTTAAAGGATAATTGTTGGCTAGCTTCATAACAACATGGCAAAGAAGATGGGATAACAAATATCGATGGCCTACCAATGGCTAATTGGTAATTCATTGTGGAAGCAAGGATTTGGACTCAAATCTGCCTCATCAAAGCCCAACAAACTATCTGCTGTGATGCACTGCCTTAAGATATTCCTCACAAAGTTCTAAGATGAATGACCTGCTTTCTAAAGTTGCATAGGCTTTTATTTCATTTTGCTGTGGGCAGTCTCGTCTAGGCAGCAATAAAGTTATTAATGAAACTGGAATTAAATCTGCTTTTGGGTTAAGCAAAAGTGGAAAATCAAGGCTGCAGACATTACTGTTGCATCACCTCTATCATCATTCTCCTCAGCCACAAAGGCTGTATTCAACACCTTTAAAGCAAAACCTAATAGTCTCACTTACAAGACATGATTACATTTGGTAAATTTAACTTTGATTTGGTTTTGGTGTAATGCAACCTAACATGTTTGATTAGGTCATACTTAAGGTAGTAAGTGACTCCAGGAAATGGATCGTCCCAGTTAAGTATGCTGTATAAATGTAGCCAAAATGTTAAGAATGGTGTTCTATAATGGGAAGTCTTATAATTATAGAATGCGGCTATTTAGATTTTCCACTTAACAACCCACCCGTTAATTTAACAAATGCGTTGGGGAGAACACAGATGGGGTGTCATTAAGATAGGTGATTCACTTAACTGCCCTCCCAACTTTCAACCATAATGGGAGGCTCCATTATAGTTGTAACTCGAGGATTAGCTGTACTACATTATTTCACAAATGCAAAGAACAAATACTGTTATTTTATGTCTGGCACCACAGGTCTTATTCCATTATCTCTGTTGCACGTTTTAAGGGATAACCTAAGTCAAGAATTCTATTTTAATACAAGATCATCTGAAAACCAAACCAGGACATGCAGGAGAATTGCATTTTAATAGAATCATGAATACCTTATCTACCATGCTGAAGTCACAGCCTGCTTTTAGCAGTGTTTCTATCACGTCCACATTTCCAAGGTCTGCTGCCAGATGTAAAGGTGTTTGATGTCTCTTATAGATGTAAAGGATAATATTATTCAGAAATCTTTTCCATCAAAAAAATGTAACAAAGAAGTTAATATTCACAGCATGTAAAGAATAGAATTAATATGGCAATGAATAGGTTTGGCTCAGGGCCTGTTGCAAGTTTCATCTTTTTGCAAATAAAGAGACATGGATCAGGCAGTGCACTTTCTCAATGGCAGTCCCCTTTCTCCCATCCAGAAGTACAGATGGCCCCAATGCTGCTGGCAGTTTGAAACAGCTAAAACAGTTTTATGGTAGCATGCATTTAGCTCCTAGCTTACATGAGATTGTATTTGTTTTAATAGTGTGATTGTATGTATTAATGACTGTCAATGATATTACTTGAATAGTTTGCATTGAGATTTTACTTCTATTTTTGTCTTTTGCACTTTATTTTGTGTATCCTTTCCTGAATCAATTGGAATTGAAACAGACTATGGATATGATAACATAACATAAACAATACTAAATAAGAGCAAATGAACTTAAATCAATGACATTTAATCAATCACAACTGAAGTTTTAGCAAGTCAATAATTTAATTCCCAATCTGTATCCACCCAATTCTGTATCTGTATTGTTTTTTATTATAATTATTGTTTTAAAAATATTAATTTATGCGTAAAATATCCTGGAATATTTTTAATATTTTTCAGAATAAACATGTTATTCAAACTTTTTCTAAAAATAAATGTGGCAATGTTGTTGTTTGCTTCTCTGTATGTATTTATGTGGAAATTAGGAAAAGTACCAGGGTGTCTCAGGAGCTAAAGTGGAGATTTTCTCTTTACCTTTGTTAAAAATACAAAGATTATTTCCCTGGTAATTTTGTCTGAGGATTGTATTGGTTTCATGGAAACATTTTATATTTGAGAGTTGAAGTCAAAGGCAGTAGCCTAGACAACAAGCAGTCAAGCCATAAATCAAATTATAATGCTGATATGTTAATATGTACCATATTTTTTAAAAAGTATAGCATGTGTATATGTATGTATGTATAAATGTATGTTTTGTGTGTTTTACACATACAAACACACACACAAATATTGTCTCCAATATTCAGTTCATATGATTCTAACAAGAATTTCTTACCTTATTTAGGCAATTTATGTTATGGTTTGCCTTTATTAAGCTATTTATCACTGATAAATTATTTTTTGTGATAGCCAAATGTAGAGGAGAATTATTTTTCTGTAAAGAGAGGAGAAATAACATAATGAAACTATATTTATTCATAAGAAATCATGCTTGACCAGGTTGAAAAGTTTTAAAATATGATGAAAACCTTTGATAACAAATCAAGTATATTATTCCAATAAGTTTATTCAATATTTCCATTTTTCCATTAGAAGCCAATATTCAAATGGATAGCTTATGCATTTACTTTAACAGTACTTTATGAGTATACATCCATTACAAAACTGGAGTTTTATTTCAAATGTGTTAGAATATTAAAATACCTTTCTTTTTAGCATATTTTAATGTCACATATTCAGTAAACGTCTCCCATAGTATGTCTATCATGCTGATGGTACAGCTTTTAAAACAGCATAGACCAAGGGTGTTTTCCAAGAGAAGATAAAAAATGTCAAGATGGCGATCACAACTACGCAATTAAAAAAGCACATCCTTTTTTATATCCATTGCAACACAAGCACAAGGCAAGATTTTGATCACATGATTGTGGCCACCATCTTGACTTTTTTGAGCCCCCTTTGCAGATAGCTCTGATACAGACTATTTGGCTACTATTTGGCTATTTGAAATAATATAGAAATAATATAGAAACATATAGATTGCTAAAAGTCTTCTCTTTAATGTTCTTGCTAGAAGACCTGTATTGCCAATAGCTTTTTTTTGCAATTTTCTTAAATTATAGAAAATCTCTTAATTATTTGCATATACTATATCTCGTCACTGACACGTGTTTATAACTTTTACTTTTTTATATTTAAAAATCCTGAATTTTTTAAATCCAAGTTTTTTATATTGTAATTTCATTCAATCTTTTTTTCAAATCACAGCTACTGCTGTTTGCACAAAACTTTCATCATGTACCTTTTTTTTCAGTTACATTCTGTGATGGATTTTTGAATGAGGAAGATGAGCCCTTTGATTCTAGTGTTTCTAATGTTTTGCACCTGCAAAACCAGGTGCAAGGACATCGCCCAAATTTATTTGCAAAGGAATCTCTTATAACCATAGCAAATGTATGAGGTACATATATTGTACGTCTGAAAACGTTACAGAACAATTCCTCCAGTTGAACATTTTTACTTATATTTATTTCAGGGTTAGGCATATTTTAATATTCACTTAGCAAAACTGAAAGTAGAATGTTTAATTGATTTATGTAGACTGTGGTTCTTCTCTTTTTTATGGCTTGAATTATGCATAACTTTAGCTATCACCACTTTCAGAGAATGTCGAGAAATGTCAGGATATAACATATGAGAAAACAACAATAACAAAAAGTCACCTGAGACTGAGCATCCAGATCAATATTATTACTGATAAGAAATCTGACCAAAGGTGTGTGTCCATTTTGGGTTGCAATATGCAATGCACTGGCATTGTGCTGAAAGAAATATGTTGAAAAGAAGGGAAAATAATTTTTGCTGTTAATAATACAATGTAATTCAAATGTATGTTTTTGGAAGATATGTACAGTTGTGCTAATAACAAAAAACTAATTAGGCCAATCTCCAGAAAACACATTTGGAGAATAATTCCTTATCTTTTGCCACAGTTATTTCACGTTTTATCCAAATCTACACCAAATACATGAATAATGTTTTTTATACTCTCTTCTACCACATCTCCTTAAGTAGTTAGTTCTGATGGAGAAACTCTGGTTCCTTACACCATGGTTTCTAATCCTACTCAAATAGAGGAAATATGATTTAAGACGCAATATTTTCTGTGAATGTGGGTGTGTGAAAAGATGAGGGAAATGGTTAAGAAAGGAAACAAATTATAGTTTTCCAAATCAAAATCATGCATCTTAGCTAAATCTATCAGGCTAAAGTTGCATTTGTATATTCTCTTCATAATAAACGAAATTACTTCTCAGAAAATATGCATTGGATTATTGCTGGATGACAGGGAAAGCACAAAATGAAGTTTTAAAAAAATCATTATTTCAATTTTTCTAATAGCTGTTTCATATCATTAATTTGAATTATTGGGATGCTTAAGGGTTACTATTAACAATAATTTTACTACTGTTTTCTTCAGCTTTCTTGAACTTTTATATTAATGTCGCATCAAGATCCTTTTTATTACAAAAATAAGTAATAAAGAAGACACAAATGTGAGATGGAGATGAGTTAACTGGGGCTAAAAAAATCCAGGTGAATGATATACACTAGAAAACTTGAAATCTAGTGTTCATCTGAATTTTGCAGCCCAGATCTAGCACCCTTGTTACTTTAATACAAATTTCACAAAAGCAATTTATCTGGTTTTTAATTCACAACATGGAAAAATTCAAAAAAATATTATCTCAGTAAATGAATAAAGAATACGACGTGTATCTACATACTTTGTTCAAAATATTGATGTCACTTCCGGCTTCCAGTAAAAGGTCAGCACATTTTTCATGGCCTCCTTCAACAGCCATATAAAATGGTGTTTCACCATTCTGAAGAACAATACAAAAAGTAAGTACGGTATGTCATTAATGTCAGATACAGTTGCTTACAGTATATACAGCTACCCAATACAGGCTCATAGGAAGTAAGAATATTTTTTCAGATAATTTATATAAAATGGAAGAATTATTAAACGTAATTTTTCTATTGAAACTTTTATATGGGACTGCAAAATACGTATGCCTGCAATTCAGCAGTTATTTATTTTCAAGGTGGTTCATATTTAATAATTGGCAAAAGAGAAACTCAGAAATAATGATAATCCTAGCACCAATCTTATGCAATGATAGATTTTACTTGTACATCACCAAATCAAAATAGACTCATGACAATTTACCAAACACTCAATATATCTGTAAACAAAACTTCCACAGAGATATAATTACATGGATTAGAGTAATGTATTCCACATAGGGCTATTCTTGAATACCATTCCAGAGTTGATCTAGAATGCAGTATTGTGGGTAGTGTTGGGCATGCTTTGTTATGCCTGTGTGACACCCATTGTTCTGTGATCAGCATGGATTATCAATTGGCTTATTGCAATTCAAGATGCTGGTTATCACTTTAAAGCCATTCATGGTATAAAGGCCTAATTATTTGAGGGTCCACCTGTCTCTAATTGTTTTTACCTGTCCAGTATAATTGGACAGAGTGGGCATGCTGTGAGTCCAATTGATTAAGCAGTGGTATCTTGTAGGAACCAGGAAATAGGCCTTCTCTATCATCGTACCTCCCCTCCTACCCAAAGTAATGTAATAAAGGTCTTCCTGTCTGAGTTTTGAGCATGAGTTGCTTTTTATTTTTTTTGCTTCACACATATTTTAGCATATTTCTTGTATTTTTACCTGATTGAATTTGTTTATATCTTCCCACTGCTGAAGAAGAATCTCTACCACTTCATCATGGCCATTTTTAGCTGCTAGATGCAAGGCAGTGTTTCCTTCCTACAAAAATATACATAGACATCTAAGAATGTAGGCTTCAATTATCACTAAAAACAAACATACTTGAATCAAGAATAATAAATATAATGCTAGATCTGTAATAGAAGACTGCATATACCTGGTACATTGATATTTTGATAAGAAGTATCCAGTCTGGCATTTCAAGTAAAATATGCTTTTACAATATTTATTATTAAGACATTGTTCAATATGTTTGCAAATTATCATCTCATTATTTGGCTACTTAAATTTGGGGGAGAGGTAAAAATCGGCAGAAAGTAAATTGCCTTGTGGACCACAAAACCCCCCCTCCCTTTTTTTAATGTGATCCCTTCTCCCAGAGCGACCTGTTGCACTTATTCAGTGCAAACCACTATATAACACCAATATGACTTTCTACTGATTTTTTTTCCACAGAAAATGCAATCATACTTCTGGTAGATATAATGCAAATGTAAGACATTGAGAAACAAATGAAAAGATAATAGTGTTCTAACATCAGTGTCCTTCAGTGCTCACTGACATCAATAAATAGAAAATGTGGCTTCACCTGAAAAAAAATCTACCTGCTGGTTTTACTTTTTTTTTCTACATCCCAAGTGAATGTTAGAAAAATCTTAATAGTAAGGACAGCGAAATGATAACTGGAGAAGCGACAGGTTCCCTTTCTCTGGAAGTGCTTAAGTGGAAGATAAGAGATGCTTAATATGCACAGAGAATTGGACTCATGGCCCAAGTGTGTATTTTAGAGAAAGATTTTTGTCATGTAACAGAGCAGAGGAAGAATTGGCAGCTGAGAATATCATGCTGAAATGTAGTTTAGTAGGGAAGTGTGAAAAAGGAGCAGGTATGGATTCCAACAAGCCAACAGCACAGGACCTGAAAGAGGAAGCTACTTCACTCCACCACAGCACAGGATCTGAAATGCAGAGACAATAATAATAGTCTATTGGCGGTCTGTACCATTTCCCAAAAGAACCCTCTCACAATTTAGTACAGAACATACAAAATCAAATAACTAACTTTAGAAATAGACTTACCTTATCCGTTTCTGAGGTAAATAAATTAAGGGTAATCAACTCATTTATCATTTCTTCATGGCCCATTTCAGCTGCCAGGAGGAATGGCGTTCTCCCTTTCTGGGAGGAAAGTGAAGTTAAAAGACACTAAGGAAGAAAATCAGTATTCTTTCAAGATTAATTACCAATAGCTCTAACCAAGTTGGAGGTAATTTGTCCCTTTGGATTGCACATGGTCCCCAGCCAAACTACAAAATTATCTACAGGTGATCTACAAGAATGCTGAGCAAGATGCTCAAACTCTGCATGAGTATTTTCTGGTGATGCTACAAGTGCCATATGAACCTGAACAAGACACACCAGAAGGGTTGAGACTCTAGAAAGTGTACAGAGAAGAGCAACAAAGATGATTAGGGGACTGGAGGCTAAAACATATAAGGAATGGTTGCTGGAATTGGGTATGTCTAGTTTAATGAAGAGAAGGACGAAGGGGCACATGATAGCCGTGTTCCAATATCTCAGGGTTTGCCACAAAGAAGAGGGAGTCAAGCTATTCTCCAAAGCACCTGAAGGCAGGACAAGAAGCAACGGATGGAAACTAATCAAGGAGAGAAGCAACCTAGAACAAAGGAGAAACTTCCTGACAGTTAGAACAATTAACCAATGGAACAACCTGCCTCCAGAAGCAGTGAATGCTCCAACACTGGAAGTTTTTAAGAAGAGACTGGACAGCCATTTGTCCGAAATGGTATAGGGTTTCCCGCCTGAGCAGGGGGTTGAACTAGATGACCTCCAAGGTCCCTTCCAAATTTATTATTATTAGTAGTAGTAGTAGTATTACTTAAACAAATCTGACTCAGGATGGCCTTCTAATCCCATCATTTAACTTCTTTAAAGTGATGCTAAAGGAAGACAGGGTCTGCAGGGTTTTTTTAATGGAAAGATTTCTAAATGCTGCTCAAATCAAAAAACAAATCTTTAAAAGTCTCATGTATTACTATATATGTGATGTGACACACAGTATACGCATAATCTTTTAGACTAGATTCTTCAAGATCACAGATAGCCTCTAGAGGCTTGTTAAGAGCCCTTCGAAAAGTAGCTATCACTTTGCAACCTTTAAATAAACAAAAGAAGAAAGTCATTAAGTAAATGGAAGTCAACCATATTAATTATATTGGAGTAACTGAATGTTATTTTTATTAAATTAAAATTAAATTAAATTGAGTTTAGATTTTGAGCCAAGCCTTTTGAAGTGCAGCCCCCAAATTTACAGGCCAAATGCAGCATTTAGCCCAGCAACAGCCTGGTATCTTGATGCATGCTCAGAATTACTGCAGAGAATAGGAGTATGAATATATGTAGGATCAGTTAATATAATTAACAACATATGGTTAATCAAAAGGAGCCAAAAATACACACCAGCAATATCTATAGGTTTGTGTGTGGGTGGGCATTTAAGATGGCAAAAAGATGGGCATAGCATTGTGATGCAAGCTGTGCCCCTTATACATGTGCTAGTAATATTGACATACTATAAAAGGAATGAGACTAGCATAATGATGCTGCATCCACCAGCATCTTTGCCAGGTTTGACTCACTTCGTAAACAACACTGAATAAAACAAACGTCTGTTCTATCAATATTCATGAAATACAGAGAAAAAATATATGGAAGCCATATTTATAAACATGCTCAGTATTTTAAATACATGTATTCACAGAAATAATGTTAATATCCATTGTCTAATTATAGTATTCTTTGCACTCATAATACCTCATCGGGTTTATTGAGTTCCATCAGGTGAAGATCTCGGATAAAATAATTCACTATTCTAACACTATTATTCTTAGCAGCAAAATGTAGGACATTCATGCCTTCCTAAAAAAATGAAAGAAGAGTTACTGAAAACAGAATTAGAAATCTTTCTGTTGTGTACATGGTTGTTGCTGGCTTATATTTTGAGATACCATACCTGGTTCTTTGCTTTTTGATCAGCTCCTGCTTTAATTAACATCAGCATTATTTCCAAATTACCGGACCATGAAGCAAGATGAATTGCAGTAAGGCCATGCTTTAAAAGTAAGTAAAACAAGTAAGCATAAACTTCGAAGAGACAATGAAATTCAAAACTAGCCTTTTAAACTCTGTTTTATTGGAAAATAGGTAGATTCCCTCATCTTTGTGACAGCCCCTTAGATCAACAGTCCTCAACCTTTGTGGCTTGGTGGCCCGGCTCGGGGGAGAGAGGGGAATTGGGTTACACAAGCGGCAGGCCAGCGCACACACGCATGAGTGCCCACGAGCCCACCCCTGGCGCAAGTTGAGTTGCATGTGTGTGCACATGCTCCAGCCAGCCACTCACGCAACCCAATTCTGAATAGACCATGGCCTGGCACTGGGCCGCAGCCTAGGGTTGGGAACCCCTGCATTAAATACTAGAACACTGCTATCATATCATCCCTAGTTCTTGAACTCTCAAGGTTCCTCCTTCCGTTATATATTCAAGATGGACAGTATTTAATATTTATTTGCTACGTATATGTAGGGATGTGGATCTATACATATGTTGTTCATAGTATGTTTAGGTGTGCGTCATGTATGTGTTTCACTTTGAGAGCAGGCAACTAAATTTCATTTTTGATGTGTGCCGTTGTGCCCACAGTAAAAAAAATGACAATAAAGGCTATCTTATCTTATCTTATCTTATCTTATCTTATCTTATCTTATCTTATCTTATCTTATCATCTTATCTTATCTTATCTTATCTTATCTTATCTTATCTTATCTTATCTTATCTTCTTTTAATTAAACTAGACATACCCAATTCCTGCAACCGTTTTAGCCTCCAGTCTCCTAATCATCTTTGTTGCTTTTCTCTGCACTCTTTCTAGAATCTCAATATATTTTTTTATATCATGGTGACCAAAACTGGATGAAATATTCTAAGTGGTCTTACCAAGGCATTAAAAAGTGGTATGAACATTTTGTGTGATCTTGATTCTATACCTGTTAATGCAACCTAGGACTGCATTGGCTTTTTTGCTAGCTGCAGGACATTGCTGGCTCATATTTAAGTGATTGTCCACTAGGCGCCAAGATCCCTCTCGCAGTTATTACTATTGAGCAGCAGAGGCATAGCGTGGGGGGTGCAGGGGGGGCCGGCCGCACCGGGCGCAACATCTGGGGGGGCGCGCTCGCACTCGCAGCTCTCTGCCCCTGCCTAAAGTGCAAGTTGGCTGACGGCTCCCTCGCCCGCCTTCCCCACCTCTCAGGCCGGTCTGCCGTGTCCTGGGCGCCTTTCAGCACCTTCTGCTGCCTCCTGACCCGCTCCCCANTCTGCCTCTCTCTCGCTCTAAGCGCGATTGCAAGCTCGCTGCCTGCCCAGGGAGGGGAGAGCTTAATAGGAGCGCGGGGGGGCGCCGGGGCTGCTACTCTCTTCGTGGCAGCGGCATCGCCTTCCATGCTGGTCCCATCGCAAGCTAGACACGCCCCCGCAGGCTCACGGGAAGGATGGGAAAAGGGGTGGGCAGTGCCTGTGTTGGGGTGGGGGAAGGGAGTGGGGGGAGGAAGAAGGGATCCGTGGGGATATGGAGTGTGGGAGAAAGAGTCGGAATCCAAGATGCTCAAATCTGGATGGGCTCCCAGCAAACGCACACCGAAGAAGTGAGGGGAGAAGGAAGAGAGGAAGAGAAACAGTGGGGGTGGGAAAGTGCTAAAATCCACGGGTTAGGGGGCGCAAATTACTTGCCTTGCCCCAGGTGCTGACAACCCACGCTACGCCACTGCTTACTCAACCCTCACCCACAACCTCATACACCCTTTTGCTCCCTCCCCACCCAACAGCAGCCACTTAACTGCTTGTGGGCCTGGAACCTTCACTTCCTTGTCTTCAAGGCATCCCAGAAGACAGTGTAAATTAGTTCAAGAATGCTGCCAAGAAAACCACATGAAAGAGAGCCTTTAATACTGCTACTATTACAGAACAAACCAAAAGATCAGGTAAGGGGAAAAATTATAAAAAAAATGGAACTATTCTGAAGCAGCAAACTCTAAGCATGCTCATAGGGCATATTGACATATAAAGTATAAAAGGCTTAGCAAAATCATACTGGATATCTAGTTGCAACACACACATACATATATATAGACACATGCACAATAAATACATAGATACATACATAAATGTAAAATTACCTGGATTTTTAAAAGATTTTTTATTTTATTTTCAGAATACTGACTGGTGCCAGCTCTAGAATACTACAAATCTATAAAGCCAATAGCTCCATAACTGAGGTAATGAAATATAGCAGCAATAAAACAAAACAAAGACCATGCAAATTTATCTTCTTCAGATTTCCTGACCCTTTTTTACAATCTCTGTGTTTCATGCTCTATGAATAAGACTCTTACAGTTATGTAGAATGTTATTGGTTTACTATTCCATTAATTAATTAATTAATTAATTAATTAATTAATTAGTAATTGGAAAGAATGTAGCATTGTGTTGGACTGATCTTGTAACTAAACAAATCACATGTAAAAGAAACAGAAATCAACCTATGAATCTATCACTCCATGCTGGCATTTGTGCTGAATAGTTAAACTCTACCGCCTGATTCATTTCTAACTCTTTTTGCCATTGATGGCATTTTGAAATATCCACAGTGCTCAGCTATGATGTTCTGTACAAATACTGTTGGTGTCAGATCAGTAATTTATGGAAGCAATTACCATATCACTATAAACAACTAAAGTAAAGTGCCCTGGGTGTAAAATATGGGCACACTCCAGAAAGAAAAGGCTGAATAAATTTTAGAGGTGCTTCTTTAAACTCCAATTTGCAGACTAGGGCAATAAAATAAGCTTTTTTTTCATTGATTTGAAACCCATTGATTAATTGCAGCAGGATGACCTTNGGGGGAAGGGAGTGGGGGGAGGAAGAAGGGATCCGTGGGGATATGGAGTGTGGGAGAAAGAGTCGGAATCCAAGATGCTCAAATCTGGGTGGGCTCCCAGCAAACGCGCACCGAAGAAGTGAGGGGAGAAGGAAGAGAAACAGTGGAAGTGGGAAAGTGCTAAAATCCACGGGTTAGGGGGCGCAAATTACTTGCCTTGCCCCAGGTGCTGACAACCCACGCTACGCCACTGTTGAGCAGGAACCACCTATTCTATACCCATGCGTTTGGTTTTTCTTGCTGAAATGTAGAACTTTACATTTCTCACCACTGAATGTCATTTTGTTAGATAGGGTCCAGTGTTCATGTCTGTCAAGATCCTTCTGTATCTTGAGCCTATCTACTGGAGTATTGGCTCTTTTTGCTACCTTAGTATTGTATGCAAATTTGATAAATTCCCCTTCTATTCCCTCGTCTAAATCTTCAGTGTTCCACAGAATCTTACAGCACTTTGGTTTTGCCTTTAGCCACCTTTAGAATATTGCTCTATCATTTTATTTCTTATCTATTTAGCAGGAAAACCCTGAAATGACATATTATTAATTCATTTTTTCCAATAGCCTGGCCATGATTAGTCAGAGATATTAGAATTAATGATTCCATTAAATGTATTGTAGGAGCAGAGATATTTAGTCAATGTTAGTCAAGGATCAGAATGAGTCTGGTAGCCTCTTTTTAGACTAACACAGAGGTCCCCGACCCCCGATCCGCGGCACACCACCAGTCCACGTCACACCAGAAACCAGGCCACACAAACAAGCGAAGTCCCATCTGCGCACATCCACAGGATGCAGGCAGCACATGAAACCATGCATCCCCAACCCACAGAAAAACCTCTCTCCATAGAACCGGTCCCTGGCACCCAAAAAGTCAGGGGCCACTGGACTAACACGTATTATTAAAATTCCTTTAAAGAAAATATGTTAGTCTAAAATGATACTAGTGGATTACTTCTTTTCCATAAAAGAGCCTCTAAGTCTGTTTCAGCTATTCTAACATAGTAATAAGAAATCAGTTGCATATACCTTATCTGCAATATCAACTCTAGCTTTGTGATGGAGAAGAAAGTCAACTGCCGATATATGATTTCCTGCAACAGCAAAATGGAGGGCTGTGCGTTTCAACTAAAACATGAAATAAATCATAGGGAATAAACACAGAAAATAAAAAGCAAAATTAGACATAGCAAGCATTTAAATTGAGTAAATTAAACTATGGCTAATATGTAAGCCTGTTTAATGAGTCATCACCTTCCCAACACATTCCCAAAAACACACCATTTCGTAAACCTCCACGTCTACAGTGCAAGCCTAAGAAAAGGTGTAGCTTTTGTTTTATTTTTAAAATTAACAATGTAGATAGAAGATAGAAAAAACATAGTAAAATTTCAGTAAACAAATGATTTACCATTATCACAAAATTCAAATTTCATTGTTTAATTAATTAAATGTATAGAAGGTTCATTATAGCATCTTAAAAAAAATTCTATAAAACTTTAAACATTAATATTAATGGTGATATTGCCATTATTAGTCATTGTTCCAGAAACAAACTATATAAAGAAAAAAGAGGAGAAAAAGATAAAATAAATTAATAAAATAAATTAATAAAACAAAGAAGAATCATAAAATCAATATTAAGTTCTAAATCCCTTACCATTACATCTAAAGGTGATTGATTGCATTTAAGTTTTATAAACACTCAAACTGCTCCTACTTATTATCTTTACATCAATTACTTTCTCTTTTAAAAGTAAACCATACTGTTAAATGTCTGAGTATGTGTGGCATTTATTTTTGTGTAACATATAATATACAGAGGAGCCATTATTGCTTAAATTTACTCAAAGTTCTGTGCTGTATATGAATTATTATTCATTTTGCCATTGCTGCATATTCCTTATGTTTGGTCTCCCAGTCTCATATTGTCGACACAGGGTCTCTTTTCCAATGTTGGGCCTAATTTTGACTGTGTGGCCAAAAGGTTCAGCCTATCAATGGACCAACTGACTGGTACAGCAAGACTGTGCTTGCTTCTGCTTGCCTCCATTCTCAGAACTGCACACCTCTAGTGCAGGAAGAGGGCTAAATAAAAGTCCCAAAGACTAAAGAATAAATACTATTTTTTTCCTAAATTAAATAATGAAGAAACAAAATCTGCTTGTTAGAGAAATTCATTATAGGAAGTGCTTTTATACTTACAACATTTACAGCATTAATATTAACTCTTTTCTTAAATAACCTTTCCATAGTGTCCAGATTATTAGTTTTAGCAGCATGCTGAAATTCAGTCTCATCTGGAAGCACTGCAGAACAAAGAACACAACTTCTATGGTACTGAGGAAATTCTGATAATAATCTTAAATAACTAAATTCAAATTATTTTATTTTTCCCCAAAGTGTTGAGAATCTATTAAAATACTCCCATGAGATCTGGGTTACAGTATCCTCAAATATCTGGTGACTATTACAGCTGAGTTAGATTTGAACTTTTACCCTTCTGATTCTAGTCCGGAATCTAAATATAGTGTATCACACTTCTACTATGTTTCCCCGAAAATAAGACTGGGCCTTATATTAATTTTTGCTCCGAAAGATGTTTTAGGGCTTATTTTCCAGTTAGGTCTTATTTTCGGGAAAATATGGTGCTAAAAAAAATGAGTCCGTTTGGCTGATGATCTTAACTGGGGCTTATTTTGGGGGTGGGGCTTATATTACAAGTGTCCTGAAAAATCATGCTAGGTCTTATTTTCCGGCTAGGTCTTATTTTTGGGAAACACAGTATTAAGCAATGTAGGTATAGTTTGTATTTTTATTTCATTCATTTTCTACAGGACCATATACCCATAAATATAATTAGAATCAAGTATGTAAAAATTAATTTAAATTTAAAACTCTACAAAAACCAGAACCTGATTATCTCCGGGATTACTTACTCTGAAATAAATTTGTACATTTAGTAAGATCTGTGAGAACAACCCATCTACTGAAAGACCCATCTTCTACAGGATCCCTAAGCAAGATCTTTTCAATGGGTGGTTTGATGTCAGCCCTACAAGGTAAACTAAGAAACCAAAGCCATATAGATCAGGGGTCCCCAACCTCCAGTCCGTGGACCAGCACCGATCCGTGGCATATCAGCAACCGGTCTGCACAAACAAGCAAAGCCCCATCTACGGGATGCAGGCAGCACAAAAAATCACATGCCCTCCGGTCCACAGAAAAATCTCTCTCCATGGAACCAGTCCCTGGTGCCCAAAAGGTTGGGGACCTCTGATATAGATCACAACTACTTTTATTATAACAGCTATAGCAATAGACTCTTGCAAGTCTGAATGTGCTTTCCCTCCCTTACTTTATGAAGAATGGGACTTGTCTGGGATGTTTACTTACCTTATTTTCTTAGAAAAGGTTCACACCTCTTTTATCCATTGCTTTGGTAGCAGCTCCTCCTACCATCCTTCAAAGCAGTTCCCTATGCCCTCTATATCCCCTTTGTGAAGCACAGCTTGCTCTTATAGAAATCTCACAGATTGACACAGGGGCTAAGCTACTGGACTAATGAAATTTAGGTCTCTCTTAGATATGAAGGCTGGCTAGATGACTTTGGGCCAGTTACTCTCCCTCCACCCAACCCACCTTATGGGGTGGTTGTTATGGATGACAGGAGGCAAGAGCACCATGTATGTATATTGCCTTGATCTCATTAAGGAGAAAAATATTTCTTCTATATATGTCACTCTGAACTGTTGGGAGAAGAGCAACATGGGAATAGTTAATAAGTTAATTAAGAAATTACAATAAAGGACAGCAGGGACTGTCAGATACCCCAATGGGAGCTTTCTGTGGCAGAGACCCAAGGCTGTCTCCAGGAGCCTTCTCAGTGTGCTGCACAAGGCTGCTTCTGCTCTGCTTGATCACAGCTGGTTCTCTGGGGGACAGAGCTGAAAATGGGGAGTTCCAATGTGATAGTGAGTCTCAATCCCTCTTGTTCTCCCCAAACCAAGAAGCCTAGTTGGCATATTTATTTTCCATCCCATTAGGAACAGTGGCATACCCAACTGGGTAATGAAAAATGTCCTCCCATTTCTCTACCAGTTTCTACCTATCACCACTATACATAGGTTTTCTATATTTATATATAATAAGAATGATTTAAACAGATTTCAAATAAATCAAATCAGACTTAGATGGGACGCATGCTTTCAGGAACTGGCAGAGGAAATAGCTTACCTGTACTGATGCTTACAAAAATAATTTTGTGAATGAGCAAGCTTACCTCCTTGGCTGTGGCTACCATGCAAAAGAGCTGCAATGTAGATCTATACAGCAGACCTACCAGTCAAAATGGCACTGCATGATTGATGTTCACAAGCCTTATAAAATAGGTGTTTCCATTTTCTGTTAGGAAATCTAATACTTTGGCCAGATTTCTTTGTTTAAGTATATCCTTGGGCGTTGAATATTTTTTGTTATTTAAGTCAGTGTTGATTCTGGGCGATTGCCTGGACTAGTCCTTGCAGTTTTTTTCACTGGATTTCAGTAGTAGTTTGCCATTACCTCCTTTCTAGGGCTGAGAAAGAATGACTGGCCCACGGTCCCTGGCTGGCTTTGCACCTGATTGAGGCAGGACTAGACCTCAGAGTCTCTCTTTTTCTAATCTGATCTCTTAACCATTAATATCAAATTGGCTCCCCAATTTTAAATATTTTTAAATTTCCTCTGAATTAAAATGAACTTTAAGAAATGCTTGCCACATAATATGAAATTTGCATAACCTTGGTCTATTCTACTACCTCTCTCAAGATTCCAAACGGGAGTTGATTGAAATAAGAATGAACTCTTATCAATTATCCCCCCTCCAGGAAATTGGAAGCATGCCCTTCTTTCAAACGTTTTCAAAAGGTTATTTGAGCATTTACTATTTCAAAAGAAACATTATTCAAAGTTTTCAGAAAGCCCTGAGAATGCAAATTCCAAATCTGGGCTGGACTGGATTTCAAATTTCAGAGGGTTTCAATTGGAAATTTCCTATAGGAAACGAATCGCTGCCCTGTTCGGTCCGTCTCCCTCTCTGGAGGATTTCCTCCAGGGCGGCTGTGCTCTTTTGCCTGCTTTTTAACTGTTCGGGATCACCGGAACCTTTGCAGAAAAAGGGCCAGACAAAAACGTCCAACCGAAATAGCTCAACACCTCGCAAATCCCCAACGACCGATGGGGCTGCGCTCCACATTTTGGAGCAGAGGTGCGTGCCGGAAGAGCCCCACAAACCGGCGGTCTTGCCCAAACCAAGGCTTGGAGACCTGCCTCCGCCTCCCTCTCTCCGACACTCACAAGTCTCCGCGTTGGCCGCTTCTGCTGCGGCTGTGGCCTTCGAGCTGTCGCCTTCCTTCACAGTCAGGTTGAAAAAGCCCTTCAAATCAGCGAGGCCTTTCACGGTGCGGCTCCGGATTTCCTCCATTGCGGTACCTGCCGAAGCAGCCTCCTGGAGAACGGCCGGCGGAGGAAGCCACCCGACCGTGTCACTTTCTAGGGACAACTCCCTCCAAGCACCTGTTTTCTAACTAGATAAGGAGGGGGAGGGAGGGAGAGCGCGAGCTAAGAGAGAGAGAGATATGTGGCCTTTCAGTGGGTCCCAATCTTGAATTTTGAATTTTATTTTATTCAATTTTATTTTATATCCCTGCTATCACTCATTTTTCAGACTTGAATCCTAATGAGAGGCTTGCCTAAATCTACAGCTTCATGACATTTTGACTTATAAAAAACAGTAGAAATTGTCCGGTTAATGGACTTAAGATATTTATTTACTTTACATGGGCAGCATTTCCCTATACACACATTCTTCCTGTGCATTTACCTAAAATTTGGTTTGTATTATTCATTCTGTTAGATCAGCATTAACTAATTAAGGATGAATTGCAAGTAATCCACACAATGCCAAATCCTGAAAACTTTTCCAGCCTCTCAATTCTTTCCAATTTCTTATTAGCTCAGTCACAATGTAAAGTATCACCACTATTGAAATATTTACAGTGTGAATCTACAGACAAAAATAATACTGATGGATGTCCCAATGATACAATAAAAAAATCAAGATGGCTATAATTATTTTTTTAAAAGTTTTTTATTTATAATACAGTTAAAACAAAGATGGACATAATGTAACATTCCAGAGTAAATATTCCTAACAATTTGTTCCTCTTCATACTTATAATTCTTAATCTCTATATATACATATGTTTCTATACAATACAGTCTCTAATTTGTTTCTCTATATACTAACATACAATTATATATATTTCTATCTTAACAATAACTTAAAACCCGAACAGTTCTCCTTGATTCACACCAGTAATAAAATTTGTCCCAGATTTCAAAGTAGTCTGACTCTGTCTTGTCCTTCATTTCCATTGTGAGCTTATCCATATCAGCACACAATAAAATTGTATATAAAATCTCTTCTTCTGTTGGAATTTCTTTATTCCTCCAGTTTTGTGCATACGCCAATCTAGCAGCCGTGAGAATGTGTAACATCAAGTAAAATATCCCTTTGTCGTATTTCTGTATGGTTATGCCTAGTAAGAAGAGTTCTGGTTTTAACTCTACCTCTATCATTAGTATTTCTTCCAGCCATTTTTTTATCTTGTTCCAAAAGTCATGGGCTTTTGAGCACTCCCACCACATATGGTAATATGTCCCTATTGCCAATTTACATTTCCAGCACGTGGAAGAAACATTTGGACCCATTTTAGCTAATCTTGTGGGTGGGAGATGAAGATGGCTATAATTATGTGCATTACATGTAATGGGTGGAACTTGGATCATAACCTCATGACTACAATTGACTTTTCAACTAAAGCTTATGGAAATAAATAAATAAATAAATAAATAAATAAATAAATAAATAAATAATAATATACGGCTTGGTTAAAAGAGGTGGATGCAAATAAAACAGAAATTGAAATGAAAGAACTAGTAATAACAACAAAAATGGTAGAAAAAAGAGCAAGGAAAATAAAAAATTGGTCAGCACCAGGTGAAGATGAACTGCATGGGTTTTGGTTGAAACATTTAACTGTTATACACCCACTCATTGCCAAGCAGTTCAACAATAAACTACAAGGAGGAGAAATTGAAAAGTGGCTAACAACTGGGAAAACCTACCTAATCGTGAAAAATCCAGCAAAAGGGGCAACAGCAGGCAACTACAGGCCAATTACCTGCTTACCAACAACTTTCAAATTGCTAATTGGTCTGGTAGCTGATGCAGTACAACAGCATCTAGTTGAAAACAATCTCTTTCCACCTGAGCAGAAAGGAAACCGCCCCAATAGCAGAGGAACAAAAGATCAATTCCTAATAGACAAAATGATCTTGGAAAACTGCAAGAAAAAAAAGACCAACCTGAATGTGGCAAAAGAGCATTTGACTGCCACATGACTGGATAATCAAGTGCCTAGAAATAACAGGAGTCAGTAGAAACATCAGAAAATTTGTGCAAAGATCGATGGCACAATGGAAGACACAGTTGCAGGTCAATGGTGAGAGACTGGGAGAGGTCAATATCAAGAGAGGAATATATCAAGGAGATTCATTATCATCACTACTACAAATGGCTGTCCAGTCTCTTCTTAAAAACTTCCAGTGTTGGAGCATTCACAACTTCTGGAGGCAGGTTGTTCCACTGATTAATTGTTCTAACAGTCAGGAAATTTCTCAATTTTAGGTTGCTTCTCTCTTTGATTAGTTTCCATCCGTTGCTTCTTGTCCTGTTTTTAGGTGCTTTGGAGAATAGCTTGACCCCCCCCCCTTCTTTGTGACAACCCCTGAGATATTGGAGCACTGCTATCATGTCACCCCTCTTCCTTCTCGTCATTAAACTAGACATTTCAGCAATTGTTTCTTACATATTTTAGCCTCCAGTCCCCTAATCATCTTTGTTGCTCTTCTCTGTACACTTTCTAGAGTCTCAACATCCTTTTTACATCGTGGTGACCAAAACTGGATGCAGTATTGCAAGGGTGACCTTACCAAGGCATTGTAAAGTGGTACTAACACTCTTGATTCTTTCCCTCTGTTAATGCAGCCTAGCACTGTGTTGGCTTTTTTGGCAGCTGCAGCAAAATTTCCCTTACTCTGCTTCCAGGTTTTATGATGATTGATTGTAAAGCAACTTTGGCTATATTTAGTCCTTGTGTTTGCACTTTGAAAAGTGTTCTGTATGTACTGTCTCTATTCACTTATTTCTTCTTCCCTCTCAGTCTACTTTTTCTTTTGTATTACTGTTATTAGACTGTAAATCCAAAGGATTCTTTAATTTTTTATGGGGTTGGGGTTTAAATAGTAGAATAAAATATATTTGAGACATACTACAAACTACTACTACTTACTACTACTACTACTACTACTACTACTACTATATTACTACTACTTTGGCTGTAGATCAGTTACTTCTGACCCAAGGTTGGATAACTTCATGGCTGAAATTAAGATCTATGCATGATTTTAGTGAATAAAACTGCTAATTTTCCGCCCTGTAAATAAATATTGACAAAAGTGACTTAGTGTGAAAGTAAATGCAATTGTGAATGCGTCATATTTATAATATAAAAATAGTTATCCATGAAACAGTTGTATTAAAAAAATAGATAGTTTTAATCAATTGCTTATGCTTACAAATATCTTACAACAAAAATATATACTACATACATTTTTATATCATTGTACTCCACTTTTATATATATATGAAAAATATGGGAAAATATGAACTAGATGAAAACATCTAGGGGGGAAGGGTTAAGCAGCAACCTTATGCTTTCTGCTAACAATTTCACTTATCTAAATTATGCTTTAAAAAAACGTAAATATATTTAGAATCCAATAAATCCAATACAGTAGGCTTGTTTCAAGAAAGGCCATTTTAAAAAAGCAAACAGGAAATAGTATTTCAGGGAATTCATTCAGAATAATTGTTCCTAATTCTTTATTTGTTAAATCATTTTAAATACTAACCATAACTTTTAATACTATTTTATAAAGCTAGAGTTTTATTTAAAAAGCTGCATGTTTCCAGTAAACATATATATTTGAGATATGCAGGCCATACAGAATTACAATTGAGCTGTTTTCAGTTGGGCAAAAGTAGCAAAATATAAAATATAAAACTGGATAATAGAAGGAATGGTGCGTGCCCATTTTTCAGTTATTTTAATTATAAGAATGAAAATCTCTGTAGATTATATCTGTGCATTGCTCAGATGCTGCACATTTTGTTAATCATTTGATCAGGCTTCTTGAATTTTAATCTTTAGTCTATGCCACTTGTTAATTTCGCTGCATGCAATTTCTGGTGCCTATAGCTAACAGTGAGTGCTTGAAGTTTAGTATGTCTAATTTGCTAAATTTATTTCTTTTTTAGAGGTCAGGCTAGTTGAATGATCTAGAGCAGGGGTGTCAAACTGGTGGCCCGAAGGCTGGATGCATAGGCTATGCCCACCACAGCTCTGCAAAGGCAAAAAAACGTTGCAATATGTCATGTGACGCGATTGAGTTTGACACCCATGGTCAACAGCTTTACAAAAGAATTAAAAACCTCCCCTTTCACAATGCTGTAATCCCTCAATCAATCAATCAATCAATCAGTCAGTCTTTGGTCCTTAACATAGCATAGAGTGCAAATGCAAGTGGCAGGAATAGTGTCTCATGCTATTATCTAGTGTGCTCCCTAGTCCATCTCAGTTTAGATTATTTATAAATTCAAAAAAAAACGGAATTTATCATTATTCACAACAAAATTCCAGCCTCAGGCATTCCCTTCATTTTCAAGTTATGTTTTTCAGCCCCAGGTAAAGAAAATGGCTACCTCTATAGTTATTGTTATTAGTGTATAATGAGAACATGACAGAAGGGAAGTAAACATATACACACAATCCATGTAATTATATACAAAACTTCTATGGAAGTTTGGCAATGGCCTCACAACTGGATGTCCAATTCAGCTATCCAATCGCCTCTGACATTGCTTCTTGCCAATCTTCCAGGGAACCGGAAAACACACGTTGCGGGCAATCTTGCACAATATATTTAATAGTTTGCATTATCAGCACCACAATCACAACAAGGGACATCTTTCCATCCCCACTGATACAGGGCAGAGGCACTTCTTCCAGTATCACACTAATTTTGTTCAATTTTTTCCAGACAAGAGTGAGGCAGGTCAAAACCAAATGGTCAGGCCACAAGAAGGTACCTTGGCCCATTCCTCTCTCCAGGCATTCTTGGAGTTAAACTGGGTAGATAGTAAGTGAATAGTTGTTTTCCATGCTGGCCTATGGGATTTCATTTATTGTTCAGCATCCTTGACCATAGCCAAATGAGTTTGTTGTCTTCTAATGTGGGACGGTATGATTATTGCTAAGTATGGTAACTAGTGCACAGGAGTGGGATGCAATGTGTCAG